GCACAGAAATTGAAGAAAGTTACAAATATTAATAGCATCAATATCAAGCTGCCAAGTACATTGCTTATATATCAAAAACTCTTATAAAACTTACTGGTAATGTTGGTAACGTAATTAATCGTCTGTCGACGATGTGAAATTTTTATCATTTATTATTATTGACAATGAGTCCTATTTTTTTACAATATGGATTTTTGGGATAGTGATCATGTAATGTTTTCCTTAAGATAAAAAGTGGAAAATTTCTCTATCTTCAATAATAAAAATTAATTTTCACTTTTCACGTTTTCATTTTAAGTAAAAAGTTACATAATCGCTACTCAATGCGTATTTTTATATTGTATTCTGGACTGGCATGAAAAACTAACAAAATTCTACCTATGAAAGTTTTAACAATAAATTTTTACCGTCATAGAAATTGGATTGTATTTTGCTTATTTTAAAAAATCGATCTCTTCGCGCCTAAATACAACAAATGATCACGTTCAGAAGAATTCCAAGCAAAACAACAAGTCATTATAATATCAAAATGATGTCAAAATGACTCCAAAATAATCATTAAAAGTCATTTTTCAATCATTTCTAATTCATTTAAATGTCATTTTGACGTTATCGTGACTTAAGTTAAGACAGTTCTGCTTGAGAGAGTTTTATCTTATCGAAGAAAATTTCCAAAAGTCATAAAATGAACATTTTGCTGAATGCGATAATTTGTATTTGTACACATCAAAAAACTTACCAGTCAGATGTCTGATGCAAGAAACATATTGTTGCTTCTTTTACATCAGCTTCTTAATTGGTTGATTTAGGCTCAGTCGATTTCCACTAATATAAAATTAACTTTAATCTGGATTTAACTTACTGTTTATTTTTTTCACTAAAAAATTGGAGAAAAGAATTAAAGTACATTTTCACGAACCGCTCAAATCGCTTCAGCGACAAAAGCGGATAAACGATGCAAGGAATTTAGTTAAAACGGAATAATTAGGATGCCATAACGCTTATTCGCGTATCGAAGGATCCGATCAATCACTGGTTTATGCTTCAGTTTTAATCATAGTCTTAATAGTGGCAACAAAGAATGCCATAAAGTCGTTTATGCTTCCCCAGTCTTAACCGTAATCTTAATCTTAGTCTCAAGAAAGTTCATATCTTTTAACTTTAGTTCTTGAAAATTAATGCCTGGTTTGTGCTTCGGTCTTAAAATCCTAAAATTCAGTCAACATAGATTTCAGTTAGGACCAATTAAGACTGGCAACCCTACTGGCTGAATTTTAAGATTTTAGGGTTAAGACCGAAGCATAAATCAAGCATAAATTAGGACTAATTCTAAGACTAATAGTAAGATTAAAATCGCGTTCGCAAAATACAGATTACTAAAGCCATCTATTGGAAAAATAATGGATTTCTTTTTACTACACCTAATATCAGTGATTGATCGGATCCTTCGACATGCGAATACGCGTTGTGGGACAGCACCCTTATACCTCAAAAAAGATCACGTGATGGCTTTTGTCGCAGAATTATTAGAGTGACAAATTTATACATGAAAAAGAAGCATTGAATTTGACACTTGAGCGACAGATTTTACATATTGGCTGCGTTCAGCAGAAAAAGCAGCTTTACTGTTGTAAAATTCTTTAATATGGTTGGTCTTGTTCTTAGTTTCTCATTAGATCTAAATGTATGAACAAATCATATTCAAGAATTTTACAATTGCAAAACTGTGTTCTTTTTTTTTTGCTGAATGCAACCATTGTTTGTGTCGTTGATGTATCACTTGCGGTATTAACTATTGACGCGCTAAATTAAACAATTATTAGCACACGGAGAGAATTATCTTTTAAAATTCATCCTGAAAACATGGTAGAGTTGTGATACAATATAATGCTTTAAAGATTTTTACTATACACTTCAATAAAATTAATCAAACTTATTTTATATTTTATTGTAGTTTTATTGATGAATGAGAGAAATTTATATAAAATTCTTCGAAACACAATGTTGTCCCAGAACTACCATATTTTCAGGATAAATTCTAAGAAAAAATTCTCTCCAGTTATTTTCTGCAGTTATAAGATTATTCTAACTAAATATAAATTAATTCCTAAAGACTCCTTAATGATTCAAAATGGATATAATAGGGCAATAGAAGTCAAGCACGACAATTCTTGTGCAACCAATAAACGATTGACAAAACAATTTTATTAATAATTAATCCGCTTATATGGCTTATTTCGGCTCATTTTTGAGCCATCCTCAGAGACAATATGATATTGTAATTATAAAAAAAATTTTTTTTTTTACAAACTAATTCATTTCAGTGAGCCACCTCCACCTATTAATGGAAATTATAATATAAAAACGAACTCTAATAATCTAAAATGTCCCAACACATTAAAAAGCTTCATAAAGAGAGGAAAAAATAAGCTTGATTTCCTATCCAATCAGAATGTTTTTACAAGATCTCCTGTGATGATCGTGAGGCGAGTTATGTTGGTCAGAGAAAAAGAAAATTGAACACGAGATTACACGAACATATCTCTGACATTAAAAAGAATACAGGTTCTCCTACTGTCATAACTGATCATAGAATCAATTTTGATCACAATTTCAAATGGAATGATGTGAGAATTTTGGACTGCGAATCTTCTTATAATAAGAGATTGGTATCTGAAATGATTCATATTAAAAGACAGAAACAGGGCCTTAATAGGTAAAATGATACCGAATCTTTACTTACAGATCATCCAATCTTTCTCCTTCTTAACTGCTTTCCCTTTCCTATCCATCTCTTCTCTCCCTATTTTCTCTTCCTTCTACTTTATTTTCTCCTTCTTATATTCCCCTTCCTTTTTAGTTTTCCATTTCAACCTTCCTGTCTTTATATATATCGTATTTTATCTCTTAAGCTTCCTAGAGATGATCGATTTTGATTCCCATCGCATTGCCTAATCGATAACACATCATTTTGGCACACATAAGGTATTTATTATAAATTTATTTATTCTAAACTCATTATACATATACAATGAATGTCGGCATTTTACTCTTTTTCTATCATTATTATTTCTTATGTACTTATAATATCAAAGATAATTTTTGCCTCTTTCTTTTAATTTTAACTTATTACTTGCGACTTGTTTTGTATCTTTCTTTTTATTGTTTGCGATTCGATTTGTACTTTTCTTATTATTTTTATTTACTTCCGTCGTTAATTTATTATTATAATTTATACTTGCTAACAGAAACATGTTCGTCCTTATACACACACTGTTCGGAGGAGCACATTTGTGTCAACTATAATCGTTTGTTTGATTTCCTCTCAATTTGGAGCGAGTTTTATAGTTAATATTGCGTCCGAATGCAAATTTTATTTAATTTCTTATATTTTATTTTTTTTCTACGTTACATTTCTATTATTAATTTATTTGTCACATTGAAAATGATCCAACAAGGATCGAAACGTTTGTTTTGTTCATCTTCTGATTGTCAAATTATAATTTACGTTTTTAATTTCATGACATGTTTTATTTTATTTTTTTAACTATTTATACAGTTTGTCATTTTATGTTGATTGTTTTTAGGCTCATAGTCCTTTTTATTTATTTTAATCTAAAATGTATTAAAATTATTAAAATTATTAAATTTGTTAAAAACAAAAACGACTTATTAAAATAATAGAAGGTAACTTACTAAAACAAAAATTCACCATATCGCAACACTTAAATTCTATCGGTTTAGTCAAAAACCACTCTTTGACCATTCAGCGAATCAGTGTTAATTAATGAATAACTTTTAATATACCTAAAACGTTAATCGCAAAGAAAAAGAAAAAAGGAGGGGAAAAAACTTTGATATTAATTATAGATATATCCAGACGGACATCAAAACCAAAACTGAGTCTTTAATAATTTAATCTTAATGTAACAAAAAATGTACACCGATTATTCTAACTGTACCAAATCCTTTTATCTGGTAACAAAAGGAAATATAAATAAGGAAAGATAAATATAAATTAGATCATATATTGGGTCATCTAAAAAGTATCCGCGATTTTTTGTCACTAGATGGTGTTGACCATCAATACCATCTAGTGACAAAAACCGCGGATACTTTTTAGATGACCCAATATATCGCGGTAACGCTGGTCAATACGGTTGACACGGTGCGGCAGCACCGTCAATATCGTTTGAGGATGCTATTTCATTCGTGCATTTTTGTCGTACGACAAATGTGTGCAGAACAGAGAGATCCTCTTTCTATCCTATAGCCAATCAACAGGCTTGAAAAATTTGTCGTACGACAAAAATGCACAAATGAAATATCACCCTGAGCGTTTGACGTTTGTAATTGAAACCATTCAGTTTAATCGGTTCACAATATAAAATTTCAGCCGCTTGAATGACAGCGACAGGTAGATCTGTCGCTCCAATTACTTATTTAATTTCGCAACATGTGAAATTGTATCTTCCGAGATTGATAGTTCCGAGATTAAAGTTAATCTTACAAAGGTAGTTTAATTTCAATTCAAATAACTCTTCATCTTTTTCTGATTCTAAAAATTAAAAAGGGGGATGAAGAGTTTAATTGAATCGAGATTAAAGTTAATCTACATTGAAATGAGTAGTCGAATAATTATGTACATGTCATAACATCCCGCTGAACAGACCTTTACTCTGTCATTACCCCCACTCTTCTCTATTATTGCAACGCGCGCTATTTTCATAACCTTTTCCGCCTGTCTTAGTGTCTTTCGTGGTCTTTCGCTGTGGAATAATCTTAAGAACGCGTCGCTGTTCGTTTTCGCCCAGTATTTTCTTATTCGTGATCGTCATCTTCGTACAATCGTTCTGAAAATCAAAAAAATACAAGGAACGACTCGCACGGAACGTCTTTGTATACTCACCGTCTCGTCGCATAACCTCACGCATCAGTCGATACGATCGTGGAAATATCCTCGACAAATATCCTCAGTACTGTCTCTTTTGTTGTTGCAGTTCCATTATAGATATATCTGATGAATCGGAGGATGAATTGGCACGAATTCGCGCACGAGCGAGGTTTCCAGATACAACCAGATTAGAGGTGAGTTCAACTGTGGAATGAAACCTCGTTCCTCGGTAATGGTCTATATAAAACTTGCCGAGGGTAAAAATGTGAGTCTTTTATCTTGTTTTCATTTTTGCCATTGCAGTATGATGCTTTTCAGAAAAACGACATAATCAGTGTCACCAAAAATGCCTCAGGGGTCACTGACGAGAAGAACACGTCTATAATACCAATAATACAGAAGAGGGCCCTCAAACCAAATGGTTTTAGTGTTAAAGAAAAACGTAGAATAGCCAATAATCTTTTGCCGAATAAGCCAGAGGCCTTACATGACTTCGGTTCGAAAGTATTCTGTGGTTTATATTCCAAGGATGGAGAGTTCTTCGTCACTGCCACTCAAGGTATATTCTACAACGTTTATTCTGTTTATTGTGTCGAAGGTGCTTTCAACCAATTCTTCCACATTGTATAATATATCTGTTCTTATACTTTTAACCAATTATACTATTTTCACCAATTCTGCTTAATAACATCCTTAAATATTTAAAATTCTTATTCTTTTTAATCCAATTTTTTAAATATTTAAGCTCCTATTACGTAACTTTTAACGACAATAACAATACAGTTGTTATGCAGCTTTCTTTCTATATACAACCTGCGCAAAGACAATGTAATGATATCATTGCTGTCATTAACGTTTATTTCCACTAATGTTGATTAAATTTAATCACAATTCAACTAACTCTTCATCTTTTTCTAATTCGTAAAACTAAAAAAAGATAAAGAATAAAATGGACATAAGAGTTTACAAAATAAAGAAACCTTAATCTTTTCCTACCAAAATAAATCTTCCTATCAAAGTTGATCTCTTACCTCCTAATGAAATGTATATGGAATGAGAACCGAAATCGAACTCATGACCCATAGATTACTAATCATTCATATTGATATCAAGCTATACGTCATCCAGAATCTTCTTTATTGTGTACAAGCTTGTCACGTATAATTATAGTCCTGTTTACAGCTAAACTCATATGGTTTATCTTTCTTCTTTTTTTCTCCACATTAGAGGAAAAAAGAAAAAGAATAAACAGTGCAAGGAATTTAGCTAAAAAGAACAAGCTTACTTAATTCGACTGTCCACATCTAATGTTTGTGAATCTTTGCAGATAAATGGATGTATATATATCGGACGAACAATGGTAATTTTACCTTGTACAATCAGATGTTAGCGCATGATGTTGGATGGAGTGTTCTGGATGTAGCGTTTAGTCCGGACGGACAACATTTTGCATATTCGAGCTGGGCGGATTGTTGTAAGTGATATAATGTTTTTATCTTGTGTAATTATACGCTGGCAGATATAAGATGTAATACAATATGGATTCCTTTATCTTTTCAGTATATCAATGTCATATATCCGATGATTCGATAGAAACACTACCTCTACATCCAGGTGTACGACGATTTTGCGTCTTTTCTTTAGCCTTTTCAAACAACGGCGAAGAAATTCTTGGTGGCGCCAATGATCGATGTCTCTACATATACAGTCTATATTGCCAACGTCGATTCGAGCGAGTTTGTAAAATTATTATACAACGATAGAAGCGCATTGCCATTTCTTGTATTGATGTCCATTCATTTTTATAGTTCATAGGTCATGAAGAAGATGTAAACTGTGTTGGCTATGCAGACAATAGTTCACAAATCTTCTATAGTGGTGGTGACGATGGATTATGCAAGGTATAATTAAGTTATCCGAGACGCCACTTTCTTGAATGTATAAGGATGCTATGAAAAGTGTTGTTACAAATACTTTGAAGCATTTAATTGGTTCAATTAGAAGGAAAAATTTTACTAAGTGATTTATTTTTAAATTATTTTTTTACTTATAGAATGCTTCATTTCTAACATCACTTGACCTTAAGTCGAATATCTATGTGTCACGAAAGAAATCGATGTGCGCTATAATGAATCGATAATGGTCTGATATGTACGCGATTATTCAGAAAAATTTTCATTCTATATTACATTTTCAATGTCTTCCTGTCGGTTTAGGTATGGGATAGGAGATTGGTAAACGTATCTAATCCATCTCCAGTTGGAGTATTGGCTGGTCATAGAGACGGGATTACATACATCGATTCACGTGGCGACACACGGTATCTTATAACCAATTCTAAAGACCAATGCATCAAGTTATGGGATACGCGCGTGTTCTCTTCTTGTAAAGCCCAGCAAAATGCTCGCCAGCTTATAGAGCGTCAAGATTGGGACTATCGATGGCAGCCTGTACCTCAACGATGTAAATATCTTTATAAGCTAAAAAAAAAAAGAAAAGGAAGTGGAAGAAAAATCCTTAAGACAACTTGTTTTTATTTCTAAATTATTCAGATACATCCGAAATGTCTAAGGTGACAATTGATCTCTATTGTTATATACAATTACAGAGTATATATGATATTTCTCTGTTTCAGTATGGGATCGAGGTTTCTTAGACGGTGATACTAGTATCATGACGTATTATGGTCATTCGGTTCGTAAGACTTTGATACGTTGTCGTTTTTCGCCGCCGAACAATACTGGTCAAAGATACATTTACACGGGAGATTCAACAGGACGGCTCATTAGTAAGTTTTGAGTGTTACATTCTGCTTCTCTCAATATGCGATATCATAAATGAACGATCCTGATTTTATGTCCTCTTTTTTTCTGTAGTATATGATCTTCTAACTGGAAAGATAGTACACAAGGCAAAAGGTCACTTAGGCTGCGTGCGTGATGTCAGCTGGCATCCCTTTGATCACAACTTTATTACCTCATCTGTAAGTAAAATTATTTTACTACAAAAACGTATCTCATACATTTTAAACAAAAAAAAGCCGCAACTGTGAAGAGCGTTGGGTGCAGTCCGTTTCACGCATGATGTGCATAATATATCATTTATCCTTGTTTAATATTCAGTGAACAAGGATAAATGATGCATCATTCGCATTATACGTGAAACGAGACGCAGCCGTTATTTCGAAGTTCATATTTATGACAAAAGGAAGAAATAATTTGGATTATATGATTTTTTAAAAAAGAGACTTAAAAAATCGTGAAAAATATTTTGCTTATAAATTGTCAATAAAATTGTTTCATAAAGATTTTTGTTTGTGTAAAACTTTTGTTTCTTATGTGTATATAGAACAAATTGAAGTTATATTCTTTCAATTAATGATTCAAGTAAAATTACATGTATCATTATGATAAGATACGCATAAATATAAAATTATGTTTTATGCTTGCAGTGGGATGGTAAAATATGCAAATGGAAATATTGTGAAGACTACAATGCGAATGAATATGAGCCACCTTTGCTACGACGGAGTGAGAGAATAGCTGCAAGAAGAAGGGCGCATGTTTTGATATGAGATTTTCTATTTTTCAGTTTTCTTTTTCTTTTTTTTTTTTTAAGCAAATCTAATGTTCACGATTGCTTAGAAAGAAAGGAGAATGAAGAAAACGCTATCGAAAATGATCTTCTCTAGATGTCCATTTTTGACGCGATTCTCTCTTAGGAACGCAAATAGACATTATACAAGACTGATTGATGAACGCGATTTTTCTATTTGTCTCTGTCCATGCTCGCATATTTCGCGGAATTCTGGCTGCGATTGTTTTCTTCGCATTGACACAGAGTGAGAATTACCATTCGATCTATTTCAAATTGATTTGACACAAATAATCCATTTATGCGACACAGAGAGCTCTTCCTCCTTTCTTCTTCACGTTGTAAGCATTTTATGTCGCGAACAATCTAGATTTAGCCGTCTAGATTTTATGGAATCTTTGATAAGTCATATCTTATCTCTTATTAAATGTAACTTTCATTGATTGCGATTGATTCTTATTTTTACAAGGAAAGTTACCTTAAAATATCTCCTCTTCTCGATTTTGATGAGCTTTGCATCTATTCCCTTAATATATGTATATATAACATCAATCTTGTGGGAAAGGAAAAAAAACTGTATTTTCTCAGATTTACATTTTTATATCATTTGGACGCTTTCGAATTGAATTAGAATTAAATTGAAATTAAATATCAATATAAGAAACTTTAGTAAATAGCCGATAAGAGAAATTAAATAATTATGATTCAACATGATCTTTTTTGAAAATATTTGCAATTTGCGAATTTGGATCGCCCCATTTCTAACTGTATAGAAAAATTATACTATGTAATCGAGAGAATATTTGTTAATGATGCACATGTATAATTATCAAAGTCGGAAGATGTTCCATTTATATGTAAAGGGAGATTCCTTTGTGATTATAATATTACAATATCTCTTGCAAACATAAAAAGAAATTCGGCGCCATTTATATCATTTATACTAAACGCGACGAATCTTTCGCACAATCAAAATTTTAAAATAAAACAATTTTGTGTTATTTTTTTAATACAGAATGGTATCTTTACGGTCGCAAAGCAATCTCATTCTGTGATACGAAGTGATACTTACCTTAAGATTCTGTAGACACACTTAGAAAGAATTTTCTCACCATACGAGAATATTTTCACAACGCGACATCAAAAGAACGTCATTTTTATTTGAATTAACACTTTAAATGTAAACTCGAATGAACGTTTCAATAAACAGTAAAAAATTGTTTAAATGATTGCGTGGCGAGGAAATCTCACTTTTCCTTCACAGATCTCATTAATTAATTAATAATAAACGGGGATGAGCATAAGTTACGAATGATGTGATCAATAACAAATAAGAACAATTAAAGTTATTGTTCATGATTTACTTAAATAATTAATGATAATGTTACTTAATGATAAACGAAAAATCGGGCGATTCATGATTCTAAATTAGATATAGGTACAGATATAGGACACATTGAAAACTCTATATACTCAAGATGTAAATAGGAATAATAATAATTCCTATGATATAAAACATGATCATAAAAGCATTATAATTTGAGATGTAAAGTATCAGTTCAAGGAATCAGCTTTTTTTTTACTTCAACTTTTTATAATGACAAAAACATACATAAACGTCAAACAATAATACATGTAACAAAATTTATAAAAAATGATATATTAAATTTGAAAAAAGATATTAAAGAAGTACTAAAAAAAAATCAATAATTTAGTAAAAAGTAAAATAATTTTAAATATAGAAGAAATATTTCATATATATGAAAATCCTTTTTGCAGTTTCTATTCGTAATGAATTTTACTTCTATATTATTTTTTATCTCGCGAAGAAAATTGTAACATATTGTTGGTTTAATAAAATGCCACATGACATGGTTTTAATATTATTGAGTTTAATCCTTTCAGCACAAAAATCTTACCATCCAAATTTCTTCTTTTACAATTAAAAAAAAAATCATAAAATTACAAGATATTTTTCTTTCCAAGTTTATCTCTCTTTCAAAAAAGTAAAAAAAGTATTTCTTAAAAAATTAATGGTACACGTACTCTCATCATATTGTACGTTAAACATACACTATATTTTATTGTGCTTTTATTGATGTTTACCATAATTAGTTATCTCATTCTGTTGGGACATTAACACGTAACTTAATGCATGCAATTACGTAACGTGTAATCTAACATACATAAAGTAGAAGGAAAACATGCAGCGCACTCCCGTCGATCTCTTCTATACGAGTGCAGCAAGATCTTTGAACTGGTGCGACCTTTCATCGGAAGCCGCATAAAATAGACAATAATTGATTTAGCTCACGGAAAGACCAGAATTTGGAAGCCACACAAATTCCGTTGGATCATGATGTAACTTGCTCGGACTTTGCGCGAATATCGTTGCAATTACGGAAATATTACAAATTTGCACGACAACTATATACATTTTTATAAATCTCAGATGAACTATTGTTCTGAAATGATAAATTATCTTTGTTTTTATACAACGCTAGTGCTAGCAGTGATACATTTTTAATATATCGGACGAAGATTGACCTTCCAACCTAAACACATTTTGTTAAATCCTTGAAAAATATCTTCTCCCACGCTGGACCAATTATGTCGTAGAAAATACCCAAGTCATATAATTGCCTCCGTAATTGTCATGTCTCATAGGTTTTTATATGGAAACCGTTGACAGTCATTTTGCGAAGACAAAGGCGGATGAGCCTCGACGCTTCCAGATTTAGCGGTGAAGAGTTTTGCGCGTTTAGTCTCGTTGTTGATGAGAATATATTTTCACGTGCGAAGATATATTTCCCGCATATGATCCTTGAGCGCGATATTACGAGGGAGAATCATAAATGAGATCTTTCTACAAATATGAACATAACTTATTTGGATTTAGAAACGCTTTAAAAATCCGATAACTTTAAACGGTGCTGTCTTTCTAACGCTATGTAACGGCATATAAACGAGGTACACGCTTTTTCGCACGTTTTTTTCCTCCTATTATTCATCGCAATTGTGATGAGGCGCTTGTCTCGCAAAAGATAAAAGCTTATAATAAAAGGGCTTTAAAGAAGATTTATTGGAAATTGAAAGATCGATTTTGTAACCTTTCGCAAATTATTATTATATTTTTTCAGATGACTCCGGAGTAAGCAACTTTTGCTGAATAAATATCCAATTATTTATCCTATGTTACAAATAATCATGGCAAGAAGATTAATGAACGTATTATTATTTTATTATATAACATCTCGATGTGACCTAATTTTGTCGTAATTCTTTTTCAAATCATTCATTTGATCAAATAAACAGGAAATGAAATTCGTTTTAATTGAAACATACTCACATCGTTGACGTTATCATCAACGACAAATTTGATCTGAACAAAGTGATAGTAGTAAATAGACTTTAAATGAGTTTCCCTTCTCTTCGAGTGGTTTATCAGCGGTCTCCTGCCTCCCAGATCTGCCTTTGAGATCGTCTCAAGGTAATGGGCGACGGTAAGTACACATTACTTCGCGATACGTAAAAAAATCCTTATTCTTTATTTTTTATATCCTTATTAGTCGTAGTAAGCGAGCGACGCCCGCGCAGCGTAAAGTGTGAACGTAAAGCGATAATGTTATAAATGCTATAAAAGCCAGATAAGAGAGACATTCACGAGTCTTCCTTCTCGCGAAGACCGCGAGGTATCAGTCGCCTGTCGATCGTTACCTGCACATGCAGACAAGATATATTACTTGTGCAAAGTGATCTCGCGTTCTCTATTTGTAATATTCTCCATCCGCGATCCCTTTCGACGTAGAGCCCAGAAGAAGTCAGGTAGGCGAGTATCGTTGAATTTAACTTTTTCTATTCCTCTCTTTTTGCATAGGACTAGAAAACATATTTTTGAAAAATGTCAAAATACTATAGTATATATTATGTATACAGTAATTATTATACAGTAATTGTTATACAGTAGAACAAGAAATCACTTTTTCTTTTGAAAGCTCTTGAATTGTACTTCGAGAAATAAACTTTATTAGATACAACCTTTTGTTTTACAGTAAAAAAATATTTAAAATGACTAAAAATGTTATTTTTGCTTACTTTATCTCAATTTATTCAAATCTTGACATGCTACATCAATTCTGTCAATGACATCGTGTTCAACGTGAAGAAATATTCATGAAACATATTATCGCACTTTGAAAAGAATTTTGTGTTCTAATATGTTATTAGATTTTTTTCATTATTTTCATATGATGTTTTTCTTAGTTCACTGCAATAGATAAATTTTTTATCTTTCTTGATTTAACAAGGGGAACGTCAAATAGTGTATACATGAACTTCGCCTAAATTTAAATATATTTTAAATATATTTATTCGCCACTAATTCATGGGCGAGTGGCACGATGCAATTCGAATATTTGCGAGGAATTTACATAGAAAGTTTTGGAAGTTTTAGTTGAATTGCGAACCGATATTATTCGTATAATTGCAGTCATTAAAATATGCATGAAAATAATCATAATTATAAAAAATAATTATAATTGTAAAATAATATTACGCAATTTAATAAACGCATTTTTATGCGTTTAAGTGAATGATTAGACAACGCATGTAGTATAAAAATTATTTTACAATTATAATTAAAATACTTTATAAAAATTTACATTAAAAAAATTTACAGAAAAACTTTGAATGCAAATTTCTCACGAATACTTAAATATTCCATCGTACTACTTAATTATTAAGGGATAAGCACTAAAATATAAATAATAAGTCAAGGCTTTTTTAAACGAGCAATTATAGTTATATAATAGTTATATCGTATTATAAAATAAAGTTTTTAATTAAATAAGTACAATGTTATAAAGCTATAATGCTTTTCAAATGTTTCGACTTACAAAGTCTTCCTCAGTGAAATATATAACATTTTTATATAACCCTTTACAAAATCAACGAACTTACAATAATAAAAATTATCGTTCTAGGCTAATCTTATATATTTATTTCTTCATTTAGATGTTACGGATTGAAATAGGTATCTAATTAGAAATTTGAAGTCCAAATTATAAAAGTGTGTTTTACTAATCCTCGTTTGTTATCGAGAATTCAGAACAAATTTCCGAAAAAGAACCATTTCGGAAATGATTCACATAAAAGAACAAAAAAAAACGGCATAAATTTAATGAAGGATACTGAGTTGTTGGATCAATCTTATTTTAACATATTTGACGACATACGCTAATTAAGATTGTAACATTTTCGAACATTCTTGTTTATGTCATGACTTAATGATATATATTCTCTGATCTATAATATCAGTCCATTTTAAAACATCTGACAAGCAAGAGATGACACAGTTTTTGACTTTGATTTTAATTCAATAGACTATTCTATATAAATTAACAATTATAAATTAAGTTTGAACACAATTTCTCATTATTATTCAATTAACTTACTAATATTATTAATACTAATCATTTAATTATAAATTGACATTTATTATACAAAATATATTAGGATAGTCGTTGAAGAAATTCTCGATTGGATCGTATATTTTTTATCAAATCGTTGATTGAACTGAACTCTCGATAACGAGGATTAGTAAAACATACACTTTTATAATTTGGATTTTAAACTTCTGATTAGATACCTATTTTTATCCGTAACATCTAAATGAAGAAATAAGTATGTAAGATTAGCCTAGAGCGAAAATTTTTATTGTCTTGTAAGTTCGTTGACTTTGTAAGGAGTTATATAAAAATGTTGTTATGTATTTCACTGAGAAAGACTTTTGTAAATCGAAACGTTTGAAAAACTTTATAGCATTGTATTTATTTAATTAAAAACGAATTATTTTATGAATTATTTTATGAATAACTATAATTGCTCATTCAAAAAAGCCTTGATTTATTAATTATATTGCGTTGCATGTACACGAGTCTATCTTTCTATATATTTATATTAAAATATAAAGTTAAGCCAAATTTGTGGTAAAAAATTACGAAGAAATTTGTCACTTTTCACATCTTTAGAAAAAGTTATGTAATAGGTACTTCGATTCATCCCCAAGTAGAACATAGAAGCCATAATAGTGATCTCATTCGTCACTTATAAGTCAATTTTTAAGTATCAAATAACGTCATAATGATGTTCTGTGATATCATTATGACTTAATTATGACATGTTGTCTACCTAGATCTAGTTTCAGTTTTGTAGCGAATATTTTATAAAGTGTGTTCTGTATCATAATTTAGGAATATCCATCGATTTAAAAAGAAGAAGAAGTAAACATCTTTATTTATACGACGGAAACATGACAACTACCGAAATATGCAACAAAAAGTCGACAATCAAGTGTATAAGCCGCAGAAATGTCGTTCCCATAATCCACGTTCGAGGAACGCACTACGATATCGGTTTTGACATTGTAAGAATTAAACTATATTATTTAACGCGACAACATAGATTTTGCAAAAACATCAGTTTGACTTTCCAAGTTGAGTGTCTTTTTCCTCGAGATTTTAATTCGAGAAATATTCTTTACGCGTGTTTAAAATCTTCAAAAGAATTTCTTTATCTCGAAGATAAAAAAAAGCTTTGATAAATTTTAGTCAGATCACATCAATTTTTGGACAATCTAAGCAAATAGAACAGATTAAATTGAATTTAAAAAATTCTCTGTCATTTTGCATACTTCCAAATAATTAATGAGACAATCCATAATCCAATACAAGATTAATTACAATAATTAATAAAAGTTTACATTACGAATGAACGTGTACCCATGAAAAAAGACAATTCAGCACAGCGCACGTTTATCATTACGGTATTTTTTAACATATTATCGTCACTATCGTTAACTAGCAACAGTCAATTCAGCAAAAAATGCGGCTGTTTTTTTCTGTTTGCATTAGTAATTAACGTTATTATATTCATTAGATGATTCATAAAGCAAGAATCACCGATAAGAGCGGTATTTAGTTTATTTTTATTTTAAGACTGTCTTAAGTAACGTCTTAAGATGCTAATGCAGTCTTTTGACTTGGCTTATGACAATCTCAAATATAAGAATCTATGAATCTAATTGTGAATACCGATGTAAGAATGTTAGAGAATCTCATTGTCTAGTGTGCTCTATGAATGACAATAGCTGCATAACTAGAAGCAGCACATACTTAACTATGCTATTAATCTCAATCTTATTAATTATTTCAAAGTTTGAAAAATGGCAAAGGACTTTTATTCAGTTTAATCCATTCTAAGATAAATGAGTGATCAGACATGTAGCCTAGTTCCGGATATTTACACAAAACTTTATTTATGTTATTTATGTTAAAACTTTATTTGTGTTATTATTAATCTCAAATGCTTTTTTAAGTATATAATATTATAATTTAATTGTATTTTTAATATTTTTAATATTAATTATATTTGTAATCGCGCGTTAAATACAATTGAATTACAATATTGTAATTTTTATTACAATAATATCGTAATTCAATTGTATTTAATGATTACAATTAAATTATAATATTATATTAAAAAAGCATTTGAGATTAATAATAACATAAAGAAATAAAGTTTGTGTAAATGTTCGAACATAAGTCCCTAGGACATATCTGAACAATGACAAACGATCTGATTCTTACTGAACACTCTAGTATTAATTATTTATTAATTATGTGGAAGTGCAAAATGATAGGAGACTTTTGTATTCAATTTAATCTGTTCTACTTGCCCAAGTGATGTAATCCGATTATTACTGATGAATATTCTGTATATAAAATTTATCCAAGTTTTTTTATCTTCGATATCTTTTGAAGATAAAAAAACTTGGACTTTAAACATGGTAAAGAATAACAAACTCATTATTTACAATTCTGTATTATCTTATATAATAATATAATATAATAATTTATATATATAATTTTTATATATAATATATATTTCACATATAATTTTGTTTTATCTTAATATCTAATGAATATAATAATAACAATTATTTTAGTTTAAATAATTTTAGTATAGTAGTATTCCCAGAAAAAAAATATTTCATATATAATTATATAAAATTATATATAAAATATGTCCATATACGTATACAAAATTTTTTCCCGGGTTAATAGAGTAGTAATAATTGCATTATAATTCATTCAATTTGTTTCAAAATTCAATATTGTCAGTTTTAGTGACAGGTCAAGTATGTTGTATCGCAATTTTTTCTGCATTTTCTAAATGACAAGAAAACTATATTAGAAATAAGATACCTGTCAGCGACCGATGTAATTTATAGTGACACCTGCGTTCGCGTAAAACATGAGTAGCGCAAAGCGCGTATGTAAATCAAGATCGCTAATGCACTTTGCAATGCAATTTCTTATGTTCAATCCGGAGGAATGAACTCCGATATATCACGCGTGATTTAAGACGGTGCATAGTTAATCTGATCGGCATGAATGTGAAGCGATATCACATGCAAGATGGAGGGACAGTAAGAAAAGGAGAATGGTCATTGGTGTGACGTTCACCCGGATTAAATTCCTGTTGTTCTACATACAGACTTATATAGTCCCTCACACATTGATTAATGTATCATGTGCATTTGATTAATTCGCATTCACATTTTTACATTAGGGACGCACCTTCGCTAAGATGATACAGGATTTCGTGGACATTTATCAACCGCTGAATAAGATCTATCTGCCACTATTCGCGACCGAGGAAGGCAAGAAAGTTTATAATGAAACCCTTGATGCCATCAAGAAACAATTCCCGCAGTATTTGAGGGAGATTGAAGGAACGGCGGATGGTGCGAATGTGCCGTTTTACAAAGTATGGAAAAATAGCTGAATAAAAAAAGAGATAAGAATTCGTCTTGGGGATATAATTAATTAATTATCAGTAATCTTATCAAAATAGATTTCATCTTTGCTTAATGGATTAATTAATTGAATTTATTTTTTTCTTAAACTTTGCAAATTTCTTGTTTTATTTTGTTTTCAAATAAAACGAGACTGTTGGGGGATAATAATAAAAATTAAGTAATTACAAGGATTTTTATTTGTACGAATAATTTTGGAATTAAATTAAAATGTAATCGTTGCAGCTGTTTCTGATGCATCTGGATGACATTCTTCCAAACGTTATTGAAATGCAAGGAAATGCCCTTCCAGTCGGTTGTACATCCATCATGTGCAACCAGTCAGGACATGTAAGACAATATATCAAATGACAATAAATCAAAAGATTACAGGCGTTTTCCGGCAAGAGCATAGTAATCTAAACGTTAAACAAGAATAAAATGATTCACTTTGTTATACTGCATTTTTGTTGGAAAATCCGAGAAAAAATGTTATATATATTTTATATATAATTATATAATTGTATTATATATATATTAGGTGTTGGAATTAATTCGTAGCGTTAAATATATCAATTTTTTATATTATATGATTATATATAATTTTATATAATTATACATAATTAAACATTTTTTCCCAGGAAAATATATCTCACTGTGAGTCATTAGCGAAGATTAGAGATGTGGATTTTAAATCTTTTCATGTTATTTAAATTCGATGATGTGTGAATGAAGATGTATATAATAAAATAATAGCGACGATTATTACAATACATAATTAAGAAATAAATCAAAATCCACCTTTTCTCGGAGTAAATTAGTCAACAGATATTTTTCATTGATATCATATAATTATCTGTATTTTGCGGCAATAATGTTCGTGTTATCTTGATGTGTATAGTTTAATAGCTTTGTAAAACGCGAAAGTTAAATCGGAGTCAAATTTTACTGCGAAAAACGATAATGCATGCATATGATAGAATAAATTTTCAATTTATAACTTCTTCCTCCGTATAAAATTTCTTTGGACGCCACGATTATTGTCTTACGTAATTATATACCAAACTATAAGTGTTATTTAAACGATATTATCTTAACATTCGCAAATTGTATTCGCAAATAAATCATAAATATTCGACATTCAAAGTCTATTATATAAAACGTATAATTTACTCTCTCTCTTTCTCTCTCTCTCTCTCTCTACAATTATTACTATTAAAGTATTCACTCTTTATTATTTGTATCATATTATTTCATCAGTTTACGTCAGATTTATTTATCAATCTGTTCTGTTTCTATGCCACGTGCTTAATTATGAAAATAGGAGATCTTGGGTCATAATGAGGATGCCGTCAGTGAAACTTTGAATCACTGGTATCTCGTGAGTGCTCACGTTATTGAGACGGGCTACAGAGAAGAAAAGTTCACGTCGTTAAGCTACGCCGGTTTCCTGCCGGGTTATACGATGGGCTATAATCACCATGGCCTCGTTTACAGCATCAATACCCTTAGCGCTGCGATCCTGCGATCTGGCAAGATTCGTGAGTTTTCTTTCTTTGTGTATCAAACATCATAATTTAAATTAGTTATTCGAAATGTAAGCCCGTTGGGAAAAACTCTATTCGCGATAAAATAATTTTTAAATTTTTTTATAAAAATTCAATATTAGTTTCATTCTCTAATTGAGATCTCATTGTACATAGCACGATATTTCCTAACACGAGCACTTCTGGGCGTGGAGAACTTCGTGCAGGCGCAGCAAACGCTAAGAAACGAGGGTTACGGCGCGGCAGAGGGCTTCTCGGTGAACATGACGTTCCTCGCGCAGGAGGGCGACCGGATGTTTCACAATGCTGAGGTGGGCCCAGCCGAGGCGGGCGCCAATCGGTCGGAACTCAATATCCTGACCGTCAGCCCGGACGAGAATACGTTCCATTGCAACAAGTACATGATTCCCACATTGCGTATAGATTTACATATGCATGGATAGAGCATTCCATTCGCGAAATGACGCGTTTATTTATCTTTCTTGCATCTCGAAGAAGTCATTCTTTCGCCTCCTCTTGTCCCTTTTTAATCACATACAATAGCGAAGTACAATATATTGTAATAATGCAGTCATAATTATAGTATCCCATTTCTAAAACTTTTGAAAATATTGCATTAAAACATTTCACAAAAATATTTTTAAAATCTTGTATAAATATTGTAAGAAAAAGAATATTTCAAAAACTGATTTCCTGGATATATTTATATTTTGGAAATATTTCAGAAATATTTTATGTTGTGAAATACTACATGGATCTTCGTGTTTTGTTCTCGTATAATAAATTTCTACGATTACAGATACCTACGTCTAAAGGTAAAGGAAGTAAAAGGAAAGATCATACAGAGCAGTATCAGGAGGATGGAGACGATTTCAAAATATCCACCGGTGGAGTGTCATCAGGATGTGATCAATATACTTAGCGATCAAACGGGCGAAGATTACAGGATCTATCAAGATTTCGGCAGAGATGATGAGATTACAACGATTGCCACTGGTATGCCTATATCAGAAAATCCAATATATTCCTATTTTTTTATTTTCTTCTCTATTTTTATTTCTCTTCAACTAAAATTTGTCTTTTATTTTTCAACTAAAAGATATAGACCATGCTAACTCGATCACCAAATATAAATACGGTAGTATACGGATTAGAAATGAAAAACGATGCTGCGCAAGAAAGATTACATCAAAGAAAATTATAATTCTACGTCATTTATTTTCCTGTTGTCTAGAAATGAAGACTAATTCAAATCTCTGCACGTGCTTTTCAGTCTCCCACTCTTTTTCAATGAATCAGAACTCGTTTAGTAGAATTGCAATAGGAATATTTCCAATGCAAATAAAGAAAAAAAACCGTGTAAGATTGCAAGAGATTTCTAGAACTATTACAAATCTAATCTTATTTATTTCAGGCATCTTTGATTGTATCAAGCGTACATGGTCCATTTACACGGACATTCCACAAATTAACGAGCCAATACTGGTGATACCCATGCAACTCCGAGACTTCACCACTCCGCAATCAAAGAAATAATACCTTTGTTTCGCACGAATAGCGAAAATCGCATAGAGCATTTGTTGTATTGACTTTACGATTGCATGTAATATTAATAATTTTAGCTAATAACATTTAAATAAATAACATTTTCAATTTGTCAAATAAAATGTAAAAAATATTAATATTATCTCTCTGTAGAAAATATCGAGCAAAGAGAGACGTCGTATTCGAGATTGAAAAATTAACAATTAAAAAGTATTAATATGCAAAAAAAGATCTATTATTGCTGAATATAAATGAGATTTTGCGATTATGAAACATCTTTCTAAAAAAAATTAATAACTTATATAATCCTGATTATGTAGCACGTAAGAACGATTAACTCGTTTCTCAATTTATAAGAGATCAATTAGAGAATAAAAAATTGTGAATAAAGGAATATAACGTACTTACATATAACTAGCCTTAGAAATAAAATGATGTGCATAATAAATTATCATTAGGTTCGGTGCCTATTAATCAGGCAGAGGAAATAAAAGCTCGCTGTTCTATTTCGTAATTTCAGCTTTAATTTCTTGATATTTTTGTATGAGTACATTGTTGTGATGATCCTCTTCCTCTTTAATATTAGCTTCCGGGAACCATTTGCATCCAATCGATTGAAAAATTCACAATGTAAAGTAAGATACTAAATTCCAGTAAAAAAGCAATGTAAACGATTACAGAATTATCTTTCGTTTCTTTTAAACAAAGATTGGCGCGGAAAACGCCGTAATAACAATTATAGTTATTCACCCAATATGCTAAAAACATAAGCAACCGGTCGATCTTGTTTTACCGTTCTTAATTAAATAAATGTACAAAACATACCGCCCCACTTTTACATGCAGATATGCTCCGCTCATTCCTTTTTTTTTTTACTTCGTTATAATTACATTTTATTATTCTTGTTCGTATTTATAATTGCGTGTCTCTCACGGATGATTGCGCAAAACAAAATTCATAGTAAACCGATGTTTTATGTTGTAATTGTATACAACCGCTCCAGCAATATTAATCGAATTACAATATTTAAATAGGTATTTAAATATGGTGCGCGGACTTGAGGTTACAATTTGTCAAGGTATGCATTCAAGTCTGGGAGACCCTCCTTCAATCCCTTCCTCTTACGTGTATCCTGCGAAAAAACAATATGTCGATTTGGTTATAATTAATTAATTAATTAGTTAATTCCATAACGTTTTATTTGCAATTGAATAAAATTGTATGTTTCCCTATTCAGGTAAACCAGGATAGTCTACTGGAACACCAAAACTAAAAACGCTTTTTTTCCCACGAGATTAAAAATAGCGGTGCCTCGAATTGTCACCGCCATCAGTTATGCACGTGGTGTGATATTGAAAAATTGCTTAGCGATAAAGCAATCATCTGTTTAGTAAAACGCGATACTTTGTTTCATGGATAACATGCATTAAGCGGATTCTACTATAGAAGTCGATCACAGGATCTTAGGTCGTAGAAAATTAACTAATCATAGTCAAATATGAGAATAACCGACTATAATTGGTCAAATTTCTACAACTTAAAATGCTACTTCTATTGTAAACCCCGTATTATAGTAGAAAAACGCAAAAGATATACGAGAAAACTATGGATGTATGTACCTGCACAACTTGGTAAGGTCGAGAGCCGAGTTCCATCGGGTCACCCGGCAGGATCTGCCAGTGATCGAACACACATTGTGGGAAAGCCTGACCACCGGTGTTGGAGCGCAGATCGGCAGTGAAGCCGAAGGATTCGTTTACAGGAAGGTATGCTTTAACTACGAACATAGGAGTACCCGCCACCTGTTGTTCTTCGAACACGTGACCTCTCCTACGATTCAGCACACCGTAGATACCACCGACCGCTACTTCTGGGCACTACGAAAAGATAGTTTCATATTTTAATTGTTCTGTCAGTTTTTTTTATTATGATTTGTGTATAAAATCGACGATGTGTGTCATCATTAACCTGGCGTGAGGTAGGTTGGGTATGTCACACATCCGACATATTGATATCTTTAACGTTTTAAAATTGTTACTAATTTGATTAAAAATTTAATAAACATAATTTTCTTATAATTCTGAATATTTTATTTGTAGTTTTTATATAGTGGGAGATCCGTTGTGTCTTATAAAGTACTTTTAGATTTAGGTACTTTTAAGTACTTTACTCACGTCGGGTTAAATGGATTTCAATAATTTACCTGAATTTCGCATAAGTAAACGGGTTCCATAATACGGGGTGAGGCAGTGAGAAGACAGGCATAAAGGCAACGTCTTGTGGTAGGGATAATTTGACCACCACCTCTGTGGATCGCGTCAGCATGTAATGTTACATCGTGTATGTTGAAACGTACACCTCTCAAATTCTCTTCCGAAAGAACACCCTACAATAACGTAAGAATAAATTATTGAACGAACGTTAATAATCTATATACTTAATTCAATGCAAAAATCTTTCACCTCTTTCGTGGCCCACTGGAATCCAGCTACCACAGAGTCCTTAATTTCGTTGAGGTACTGTACACCCTTAGTGCAATCGACCAGTATATTAGGTCCGCTACCGTCAGGTCCAAAGCACCAGATTTTCCTTGCTTCCGTCACGTCGTAATCGTATTTTTCGTTCAAATAACGAGCGCGTACTTTAAAGTCATCTCGCGGATTAACATCGCCCTACAAAATATCGGAAGATTAAAATTTATTTCGATCCAAAATATCAATTTAATTACGCTAATATTTTATTAAAATTTTTATTAAAATTTTATTTAATTTTATTAATCGTGTATAATAAATATATCGTGTTAATTAAAAGTTCCTTAAAACAAAAAAAAACTTACACTGTCAATGTCCTCAGCGAGACCATCTGGCATTGGACATGCCATCATGAATAGACGATTGTGTTTGTTCGGAGATTTCGACAAACACATTTGATTCGACTGTTCAGAAATCGTTTCTCTGTACGAAACGACGGGATCGGACTTCTTAATCGGGATACATGCGTGATCCTCCTCCAGATCTTTCAGACAAATTTCGAGATGCAGTTCTCCGGCACCAGCGATAATATGTTCACCGGATTCTTCGATGATGCACTGTACCATAGGATCGGATTTCGCTAAACGTTTGAGACCTGTAGAATTGAACACAATTAAATCACAACACATGGCAAACAAGATATTAAAAATATTTAATAAAATTTATCGATATATCGTCAGATGGAAAAATTTAAATCATGGATCTTCATAACCCAATGCTCATAATAGTTTTCATCATATAAAATCACAATGTCTCAATTTTATACAAAACTGATTAAAGATTATAAATAAAGATTATAAATAGTATATAATAATTCATTTTAGAAAAATCGTATTTCAAAAATCACAGATCAATAAAATTTAATTATTCTTTGAGAGGCTAATAATAAATTAAGCTGGGAAACTTACATACCTTCGACCAATTTTGGCAAATCAGCAGGATTTTTCGGCTCGACTGCGACACGCACAACAGGCGATACAGAAAACTTCATAACTTTCATGTTGTGTGCGTCCTTGAACGTTGTGATGGTACCGGTCTTAACCAAGAATTGATCGACGCCCACAAGACCGCAAATATTACCTGCGCAAATTAAATTAGTTATAACACATGTGGATATACATTAATTCATTTAAATTTTATTTAGCTAAATCAGCTGGCCGTTCTATCTATCTATCATAAGTAAGTCAGAACAGGTCTGTTAGAACAAACATCATGTGCGTAATTAGAAATAAAGGGTGCTTTCCATTTGGTGATACAAGTCGACACAAACGTCAAACTAAGTAGAAAATCCAAAAAAGCACCGCATAATCTTGATACTAACCAGAAGGCACATCTTCGATAGCTTCGACGTAACGACCCATCATTAAAATAGTGCGCTGGATAGCTTTCTCATACAGATCTTCTTTCTTGCCCGGTTGGAAGTTGGGTCCCATGATGCGGGCCTTCATACCGGTAGATACTTTGCCCGAAAATACTCGGCCGAAAGCATAGAAACGTCCCTTGTCCGATGTCGGTACCATTTTTGAGACGTACATCATCAGTGGTCCATTAGGATCACAGTTCTACAAAAGATAACTTAATTTAATTATTGAAAATAGACTCTTTTAATAATCTATTAGGATTCTTTTTTAGTCAGAATTTCGATTTTCTGTCATTACATTTCAGTACAGGTCTGTGAATTATATATCATCATGTATTTGTACCAAATATCCGAAAGGCTCAAACATATATTACAAACCTTAATTCCAATGGCAGCTTCGTCATCGAGCGGTCCTTCGTACAGCATCTCCATGCGGTATTTTTGAGCAGTTACAGGAGATGGCAAATGAATGGCAATCATCTGAAGAAGAGCCTCTCCTGCAGGCAACCATGTTCTCATAACAACCTGGAAAAGTTGTACAACACGATAAAGAACATTCCAAAGGAAGTAAACTTAATATGGTCATTAAATGTCCCTCAGTAAGCATATAGCATTTTCTCCTTCATAATTTATAAATCAGAAGAGATGTCAGAAAAAAACAATCATCATTATGCGTAATTACACAAGAAATATATATGTATTACAATACTACAATTTAGAAAGAAGTCTACCTTCAACAAAGCTTTTCCATCCTTGTCCTTATCTTCGGCTTTTAGCACGATTCCCAGCTTTTTCAGAAGATTGTCTGCTTCCTCCTTCTTATAATTCATAATACTATCAAATACCTAAAGAATAATTTTTTTATTTTAGTTATCAATGTTTATCATGATAATAACGTAAAGATTGATTACTTTACGTAACATTCAAGACAGTGAAAATTTACCTTATAAATTGGATCTAAGACATACATACAGAAGGAGCGTTTGTTATCAGGCTCCTTCTGTTTGCTCCACTTCTTGGTCTTAGGATTGAAGAAGGATTCGCCCCACAATCTGTTCATTAATTTCACTACATCAATCTTGAATTTCTCGGCATACATCTCGGAGAATTGTTTTAAGGTGAAAGCCCAGCCATGAAGGCCAGAACCGAAACCTACGGAACCTTTGCTGGGATCTACCTATTTTACAAATACACATTTAGAAAAAGTATGTATAACGATTATTTATTATATTAAAAGTTCTTATTTCACTTACTCTAACTTCACCCATAGGGCCGTCGTCGTCGGAATACGTTGCAATAATAACGTTAACGTTTTCAACAATACGCTGGAAAGTTTGATAGAGATCTTCGCTATCAAGCTGGAGTTCCAACAGTGCACGGTCCATTTTATTCATGAATAAAACGGGCTTAATACGTTCAGCAATTGCTTGGCGAAGTACAGTTTCAGTTTGTACGCATACACCTAAAAAGAAATAAGCAAATAATTATAATCACTTGCCTCATTTCAAGAAATCATCGATACTATTTATTTTCTGGTAAGAATTGTATGACTGCAAAATGGTAAATATAACAATATAATATAATAATCTCATGAAAGGCAATGTAGCATTTGTATCGTAGCGTGTTAATAACGGACATAAGGATAGAGGTCCACTAACAGCGTTTAGACACAACTGCTTTTTACTCTTCTTCCATTGCACTGTCAACACTGTCAATGTACACCGATTAATTTGTACAAACCAACCGGCATACTATAGAGTAACACTTGTGTGCTGGAAGATCAATCTGTTCGATAATGGCGAAAAAACCGATATATGAATAGAAGAAAATCATAAAACACATACCGGATACACAATCAACAACAACAAGGGCTCCATCAGTGACTCGAAGGGCAGCTGTGACCTCGCTCGAAAAATCTACGTGTCCGGGTGAATCAATCAAATTAATTAAAAAGCCCTTCTCATCTTTGTCACGTTGATCTGGATTTTTAATAAAGACTAAATCTTTCTCATCGAGTTCGAAGAACATGGAAATAGCGCTAGAAGGAGAGCAGTAAGCAATATTAATTGAGTGGACATAATAATGGATAGTGCAAGATTCAGGCGCAAGGCACGAGACGTGAAACTTACGTGGATTTAATGGTGATACAACGCTCCTGTTCATCCTTACGCGTATCCGTAAATCGGGTCTCACCAGCCTTGGCACCAGCGATAATACCGGCCTTAGATACAAGGGAGTCAGTCAGAGTTGACTTTCCATGATCGACGTGCGCTATGACAGACATGTTTCTGATGTTTTTCTTCTTGTCCATCATGGTACGGATCTCGTCTACCGTGAAGTTCACCTGCAACAGCATATTTTTAATTTAAGTACACATTAATTGTATAAGTCCACAAGTTATTTCTACTATAATATATATTAGAAACTGATTAAAATTAATCTCTGATTCAAATTTATCTGCGTGTATATATATAAATGTATAATATAATCAATAATTTGTCTGAAATATAGAGCAGTTCATTACATAAATAATTTCAAACATGACTATTGCAACATATTGCAACATAGGGAAAAATGAGTCATTCGCAATTTAATTTTAAAAATTATTTTTCCTACAATATATATATATTTTAAAAATTATTTTTCCTACAATATATATAAAATGTTTAATCATTGATCTTTGTAAGGATGAAACTTTTTTTTTTAATAGATATTAATAATGAATATATTGAAACATGCTCCTTGTACATCCAGGAAAATGTCTAAAATTAATGCCCAGAATGTCTAACGCCCAGAACTGTCTCAAATTAATACTGAAAAGAAATTCATCCCACTGTCCTAATATAAATACAATTGTATTTATGTAGTGTACAATTTTTTAATATACTTGTATTACTATATTATATGGAATCATAAGTTCTACAATAGGTGTTTTAAGCCATAAGAAATTGAGTACAGTCAAATGTAAGAAGAATAATTGATTGTGATCCATCTATTCCTTGTGGCTTAAGGCTTAAAAATCTATTGTAGATCCAGGATAAAGGGATCTCATCATAACATTCAATAGCATTCTTCTACATCCTTTGTTTCAATCTGTATTGCCAAATTCATTATTCCCGAGAAGAGTCCCGAAGGAGCAACTGCTTCAAGAACACTTTAACACACGCCTCACGCGTTGAGAAGCACGCGAGACCTACCACGTTGCGAGCGCAACATATTTCTTCCGTTCGAGACATCCCACGACGATTTTCCAGACATTCTCAACAGCCGATGTATTTTTTTATGCGCAGATTCTCAATCCCGGGAGCGTCGCGTCGAGATCGAACCGACAAAGGACCTCGAAAATGAGCTGAGAAGCGTTGGCCCTTCCCCCCCCGAGCACGTTGCGTATCGGCAGCCACGCGAGGTGCACCATGACACATTGCGAGATATATTTCCGCTCGTGGGGATGCCGCGACGGTGAAATTTCTCGAGTTCGTGTACCCTTGATGATATCTCGTGGTCAATGATCCGGATCCGGGCCATCCCGGATCCGAAACTCAAAACGGATATCGCGCGGATAGAGTTGCGCAATCCGGAGTAATAGCATTGTTGCAGAAAGAGCGATCGCGAATGCGTTGTACGCGGGGCAGGAGGGGAGGATACCATGAAACGAAGCCTCGGCGTGCTCGGCCGTAAAGGATATTCCGCGAAAAATATTGACGATAGCTCGAGCGCGGTGATGCGTGGCCAAAGATCGCTGCAAAAGCGTTGCAACACGGTTACGTACCATCGTGGATGTTGTCCGATTGTCGAAGGCCTGGTCCAAATTATACGTGCACCAACTATGGCGGACTCCCTCGGAAAGAACAAGCTATCTGCCGCCTGTCCGAATGTCGCCTCTTACGTGAAGGGAGCGCCACGTTGCGGCGGCGCGCGCTTCTGCGCACCGGCAGTAACGCGCGTCCAATACGCGTGAAGTTGCGCGCGCACGTCACTTTAGATTCTGGCCGGTATTCATGTAGCGTTTTCGGCCCGACCAGGTTTGCACCAACTTGGATTAGAAAATGCCTCGCTATTGGTTGACGTTATACGCTCTACCAATAGGAGAGTACGAAACATCATTATTTCAATCCAGGTTAATGCAAACTCGATCGGGCCGAAAACGCTAATAGGTTGATATTGTATTTATAAAAGGTCTGTTTGCATTGCTTGTACTTTTTGGCACTCAACATGAGTGTTTTCAAAAGCAAGAATCAATCGTTTATGTTGTAAAAAAATTAAAGAAAGAATTTTACAAGAGTTGCAAAGCTGCTTTCTCTGCTCAACGCAGCTATTGTCGAATTTTGCAAAGCTTCGCTCGCTATGCATTTTCGCACAAATTGATGGAGTGGGAAATCTTCAGGTGCATTCATATGCAAGTGTCAAAAGTCAAACAGCGGAAGCAACAACCAATCAGCTGGGCGATATGGATAGTAATATTTATAAAAAAATATTTTTTACGCCACTCTGTAAAAATCACTTCGTTGGTTGATTGCCGATTCCGCTACTTTACACTTGCATGTGAATGCACCTTTTTTCAGCGAAGCTTTGGTTGTGTTCCAAAATTCACTGCCAGCGCAGAAAATCTACAGTTTATGTCATGTGTACTATATATTTTTAACGCTGTGAATTTTGGAATACAGCCCATGTTGTATGAAATTGTATCTGAGAGTCGATTTTGTATCTTCAAATTTACTAGATGTTGTTACCAATGAAATTACAATATTAGTATTCTAGTAAATTCGCTCACTTTTGTAATTTTCATCTCATTTCAAGATATACAATATTGTATTGTACAATAGAATCGACCTCCTGATTATGGACCAGTTTCACCAATGTCAGTTACTTTATCCGCCGATTAACTTTGAGTATTGCCAACTGCTAAACTGAAAACTCATTATCTCTAATTTCGAAAGTATATATTTGTAAAAAATAGTTAAATATATTTATATTTCAATGTTTTATTTATTATCTCCACACAACACTTTTTTTTTACTATTATTAACAAGAATAAGAGAAAGATAGATATTTTAAGTCTTGCTGTTGGCTATTTTGATGATGAAATTAATCGGATAAGCTTAACTGGTTGGCATTGGTGAAACTGGCTCTATACTTTCAGATTTTTCCCTACCTTAGTTTGCCTGCACGAAATTAAAATGGAATTTTGGAACGCGATTCAAATGACGTTTGCATAGACTTGCCAAAATGTTCTTTCATCAGCAGCGGAAAACGTTTATACAAATATTTACCACAATTACAACTATTTACAACTACGCTTACGCAATTGTAGAATAGATTTTAAACCCAATTAAGGCTGCCATGTAAACGTAGTTTCAATTTGCAACACTTTTTAGCACATGAGACTGAATGGACTGAAAAAAGCAAGATAGATATAATAAGACATCAGATAGTTATAATAAGACATTTTGTAAGTTCCTCCTTTAAATGGACTTTATTTTATAAAACTCATTCGAATCAATTACAAAGACATTATTATGAATTATCGTTCAAGACGTTGAGTTTTTTGTTCAAATGTTTATTCCTTGTAGCTGAATTCTTTGTACTTTTCATCTTTGCTTTTTCTCTCTAGATTGTCTAATTATATTTCGTTTTAGGTATAAAATGTAGAACACAACGCAACTACAAAGAACACATCTAGGATCAATATTGACGAGATGATCCGCGAACCGAAATAATGACAACACGTATATACAATAAATTATTAATTAATTTGCATAATTAATTAAACTTAAATTGTGTTATAATTATGCACTGATTCGTAACATCTAACAACATTCATGCGTTTATGCAAAGTGCACGATAGGTGCCATAATTTTTGATTTTATTATCGCTTTTATAATCCAATATTAAGTGCTTCCTCGAAACAAAAAATCGAATTATATTATCAATAATATCATTCATAATTAATGAAAACCTAAATAAAAGCAAGTTTTAAAAGTAAAGTTTTAAGCAGTTTTAAGTTTTAAGTAAAAAAACTTAAAAATCTCCACATGAACGCTATGTTACAGAAGTCGATATTATTTATAATATCCATGTAAAAACACAGATCACTTCTAAAAAATATAAGCGATACTTGATTAATATAATATATTCTAACATTAAGGTGAGAGAGAGCTGGTAGATTCTTAACGACTCCCTTTGCAGCTTTTCTCATGAATGTTCACACGATCGGGATTAAAAGTTCTTCCGCAATGCTTGCAGGGTACCAATTGGCTCAGATGTGTCATCCAGTTGGCCTCGACTGTTGCTGCCTGGTCAACCATCATATTTCCGGTGCTGGGATCCTCTGCGAACAGTGAAGTCGTCATTGCTGATTGTATTGTACCTTGAAAATTGTAGGCGAAGCTTTAAGAAGATATTCGATTCCTAAATAGATTTGTCTGTTGCCTCCATCGATAATCATACTACTGTTTGATTGTCGAAATAAATCCCTCCCATACAAACTAAAAATAACAATATCGATATTATAATTTTGAATTCAACAATATTAATGTAATAAACACATAATGTTACATAAAGTTATGTAACATTGGTGATTGCGAAATTATAACTTGATTATTTTAGCAAATACAACATGCAAGGCTATATTCCGATATTTACTGTCAGTGCTGAAAAATCTATAATGCTCATAATGTGTGCTATAGATTTTTAGTACTGGCAGCGAATATTAGAACGCAGTCTAACATTAACATAATTGTAATTTTCTTCTCAACAATATAACTGTAATATAACAATTGCTTTGTCGAGTGGGAATTAGAATTAATAGTTATATTAATGTTATTATAGTTAGTATTTACTGGGATGTTATTTCTAACTGGTGTCTTATATTCATTTTTATCAATGTAGATTAACTTTAATCTCGATTTAATTTACTTTTTACTCTTGTTTAGTTTTAAGAATTAGAAAAAGATAAAAATTAAACCTAAATGAAAATTAATCTACATAAATAAAAATGGACATTTTAGTTATAAAATTTTATAAATGCAAATTGCTGATAATATATACGAGTATGTGGCATCGTTTAGATTTAAATTTTTACTTTTAAATAATATTTTTTTATTCCTACAGGAAAATCAAGAGATGTGGGTGACAAAAAATTTTTGTCAAGCGATTATCGATTCGTAAGCGAAACTCCCGATCAAGAATACATTTGCGACGCATGTATAATTAATCAGGACTACACCCACTTCCATTCCATAGCGGGAACATGACGAACATTACTTCATGTTTCATATATACACATGTAATCGTTTTAACCTGATTAATTCACTTCATAGTACTCTTGACCGTGACAACGAATTCAGAATGAACTTCAAGGTGAGTGACAAATATGCGCGAAAGGATAACCACGAGCTTCGAAAAAATCTATTCTGATCGTTATGCATTATTTTATGAGATTATACCTTTGTGTCAGACAAAGAGAAAGTACGGAGAAAGGGAATAAAATTTATCAATATATTTATCAATATAGATTTTTATTTCAGACTGTATAAAAATCTAAAAAAAAATCTTGCATACTTGTGAAAGTTTTAACAATTAATTTTTATTATAAAACTTGGATTGCATTTTACTCATCTTTCACAAATTTAAATTTATCTATCATGATTCACAATCAAAATATGAACTTTAAAGTCCTTTAAAGTTCAAATTTGCTGACGAAGTGTTAAAAAATAGAAATTGCAATCATAACTTTAACATAACTTCAAGATATTAAACTTTTTTTTAAGTTATTGTAAATACCTTTCAATAATCTTTTTGTCATTATATTTCTATGTAACATTTCTTGCGTTTGCTTTGGGCGCTCACGCATTGTAAGCACTATTTTTATCGCTCATTTATACACGCGAAAGAAAGATAGAGTGATAGAAATTACGAATGCTTAAAGCGAATACAGAGCTAGGCATTATAGTGCAAGTATTATGTAAATGAGAACATTGACTTACGTATGTATATAATTTCAGGTTTTTGCGGCTCCTTTCTTCTTCGAGCCGGCGATAGCTTATCATTCTCGGCATGCCACTTCTTTAAGCACTGGGGCTCATGAATAGCGATACTAGACGATCCGAAATCTCGACCACAGATATAACATGTAACCGTTTTCTTTTGCGACAAATTCTAAAATCAAGCAGTTTAAACGTGTCTCCTTATTTTTCTTATTGCTGAACATTCCATTTAATTGTTTTTTTTTATTCTAAAATAGTTTATATTAATTATAATAAACTATTTTATCTCATACTTGACACAATTCAAGACAGTTTTTATTTCAAAACAAAAAAACGTTTATATAGAAATTTAGAAATAATTTATTCTAAATGTCAGAGAATATTAAAAAAGCTCAATGCAAAGGGAAAACATTTATTCGCACGAAAGATGTATAGCGATACGAGTTGATTCAAAGATAAAAGCGTGTACGTTTTCCATTTTTTAGCTTACCGGATACATTGACTGTGAACTTCCCTGTCCACTGTTGACTGATTTTTGCCTGTAAAGGGCTGGATCTTCCTGTTGGCTGACATCATTCTGGGCTTGCCATCGTCTATTGCATTGAGGCTCATGAATCTTTATGCTTCTAGTACCGAATCTTCGTCCACAAATACTACAGGGAACGGTAGGCGGTGCATTACGCCCATTCACTGGAGTGGCCAGTCGTTCGTTATTCTAGAAGAATAGATGATATTTTCGGGAAGTAGAATGGAAAAATCGCTGAATACATTTAATACCTTAGGCGTGGCTTTGCAACTTCTCTCATGAACTGGCAATCGTTCAGGCAAAAACGTCCTCCCACACTTCGCACACGGAATTAATTGCTCCTACAAAAATGCAAGTTCTTGCATATTTTATTGAATTATACAGAAAAAAAGTATGTATATCTCTACTGGCATTTAATTGTACACGAAAGTGTCATCATGTGTTCTATAAAGAAGATTAATAAGAAATTAATGCATTGATCAAGACATGAAATAATTAATAAAATTCGAAATGATCTGAAAAAATTATTCATTAAAGAAAACATTTTTTTTTATCTTCGAATCGACGTTTGCAAATGTTGGCAGTTGAAATCACTGGTAATTACAAAGCATTAAAATCACTAATTTATCATTCGGTATATGACGAACAATTTTTTCTAATTTTTTACGTAAATGATAATAGTCAAAGACCTTATGCGCTCGTGCGAGTCGTATGCATATGAGATGTTAAAGAGCAATCTTTAATATTCGATGTTAGAATCACGCACTCGTGAACAGCACGAAATCTTCATAATGCACGCGACACATATTATTAAATTATTATGTCTGGTAATTCGATTCTAATAATAAAGCCATGATGAATCTTTCAAGATTTAAATTGAAATTTATTAATTTTCTTTAATTTCTAAGGCTCAATTTTAAAAAAGTGTTCAATTTTATACAAGCAAATTCCTTTGCTTCTAATTTTCCGGGCGCTCCTAGAGCTATGTATGTGCATCCTATAATTGATTCTTACATCATCGATGAATAAGAACTGCATCATCGTCCGATAAAATTAACGAAGCGCGAACAATATCCTCTCAGACGGAAACGACGCATCTCGTAAGAATAACTACTCCGTCGTATATTTCGTTAACGTTGCATCGTTAATTAAAATATAACGAAGGATCTACCTGACTCTGCTCCCATGCAGCTGCGTTCCAATCATTGTGCTCGATACCAACCGCAGGTTTTTGTGGTCTGGGCCGTCTCTGAGATGGAGCCAGCAAATTATTCTCGCGCTCCCATTTCTGTAATAAAGATGTTCGCTTGAATAAATACAGTAGAAAATTATTAAATAAATATATACGTATGATATACTAGTATATAATAATTTATGGAACTAAAGTAAAAAAACAATGATAATTTTTTTAACGAATAAACAGATCAGTCAATTTTATTATTATTTAAAAAATTTTGAAGAAATGAAATTCTTTTTTTAATAAGACTCTTCCGACAATTTATATGCAACTTTCTATAATATATACATGCAAAAAACGATTTTGCTGAAATATCTATAAATTTAGCTACACATTTGAAATAATTATATTACTCAAAATTAAAATAAAGAAAGAACTACGAGCCAAAGCTAATAGTTACTAATGTTTAATGAATCTTATATTACATCAAGTACGTATATAAACAAACTAATAACCAAAATAATTATACAGAACACTCGCAAGCTGATTGCTGGAATATACAATTTTTATGCATTATTTCATTATGTTTGAATTTTTTTGCATAATTCTTTTGATTGTCCAATAAAAATATTTTTTTAGATCTATATCTAGATCAATTTGTAGATATTTCAGTAATCATTTTTTTCGTGCAACATGCAACTATTATATCGATTTTATATTGCAGCACATTAGCACTGCTGCGGTGTATAACGTTTGTTCCAATGTCCCTTGGTTCAAAGTATGTATATACCATTCATATAACTAAGAGTGATTGCGTGCATAAATGTGAATTTTACGTATCGATCGCAAAGATCGCGATGTGAAAGCGAGATAAGAATCGCATAACATCACGTTCGCTAAACTTGTGTGCGCAAATGTAGGATATAGAGTATTCATTAAATAATCCATCGTTACGGGAAAATGCGGTCGGTCGGTCGAAGACACCCCGTCTAAGAGCGTACAAATTACCGCAACCGATTGTTGCGTTATAGTTCTGTTCAACTATGACACATCGGTTACACGCAAACGAATGCATCTGATACCGAGTTTAATAGTACAAGCAACGCAACGTTATACCATCATCGATCTTGCGAAAGGGCCTTGACTTATTACATGCGCGCTATCATTGCAGAGCTATTATGTTATGAACCTTCTGTTACTTCCGCGATGAAATGGGAAGAGAAATTTATCGGCGACTCTACGGCCTCTTCAAAATGTCAGTCGTGTGCTGCCCTAATTTTAGGCTTTATCTATTTTAAGACTTTTATCACGACGAAAAGTGATTCGAAGTAAAAAGTAGAGCCTAGTAAACACATACACCAACTAACAATAAGATATCAATATGTAATTTCCTCAATAATATAAATATTATATAACATGTTGTATGTAACAATCACGTTGTTGAATCGAATATTGTAGCATTAAGGATATTTACTGGGGGATCACGTACTATATTAATAGTAATTATATTATTGTGTTTTAGGATATTGCGATAATGTCGAAGTCATCCTTTACCTCCATGCACTTAGGCTCGTGTATAGGAAAGCTGGCAGTGCCGAATTCTCGACCACATACGTAGCACGTGACACTCCTGGGACCTCGTTTCATCAGCGCGGACAACGATCTGCTTTGCTGATCCGAGACCTGAGAAGAATGATTCTGAGGAATGACCGGGTTCTCGGTCTCATCCAGTTTATTCCTGTTTCGGTCGCTACGAAAATTCAACGCCACCGGCTTCTGAATGGATTTTGGTACCGACAACACCGTAGGCTTCGATTTTATCATCGGCGATGGAATATCCTTGATTTTGGACTGACTGCCCTTAGGATGACTGTGAAATCTCTCCGGCTGATCTGGACGCCCGCAAGTCTTGCAAGGCTCTGGCGCACTTTTTGTTGTCTTTGAGGTGGAAGTGAATATTTCCAGATCATTTGATAGACCGGCCCGCGAGTTCTTCTTCTTCACCATTGATAGCACTTTAGGAGGACTGTTTCTAATCGCATGAATAGAATTTAAAACATGATTGTTTAAAAGCGAACAGAATAAGTAATCATGATGAGGTGTAATTATATTTTTCAAAGATAAAATGTGCAAGACTTTCAAATTTTAATAATCTTCTGATAACTAACAATGGAAGGCTACAAGTAGTATCTATACATACTTGCTTAACTTTAAATATGTCTTAGTGTCTTAATTCATAAGAAAGTAATATAACGCAAAATTTAAATATTTACAAGAAATTTGAATCGATAGTTTTTTCGTCTTTTTTTTATATTATATAATAATTAGATATATGTACAATAGAAATTATTTTATAATTAAATGATTTTAACGAATATTTTAACGCCTGTAATTATACGAATAATATCGACGCAAATTTATCGTAAATACTTAATATTGAGTCACTTGCCTATAATGGATTAGTGAGGGATAAATATTTAAATATATTTAAAGTTAGACAAAATTCGCGTGTACTACTTGGCCCTTCTCTTGTAAATATAAATGATATTTTTGATATTTTTTAATAATTTATAAGATATTATTAGCTCAATTAATTTACGATCTAATCATCACTGACTTGTTATTATTATCGTCGAGCCTTCTGATGTCGGAGTTTCGTTTGGACACAGATTCCTGCGTCGCGATAACTGCAAGCGATCGAGATCTGTCAATTTCCTCCATTAGACCCGCTGCGACCCGCGGCTCGTAAATCTGTTCGAAGCTCCGTCGCTGACGACGCACTGGAGCGTCATGAGACGACCAGGTGGTAGTCGTCGCGATATTGACGACGGCGCTTTGGCGTCGTCGTGATACCGACGGCGGCGACGGTAACAGCAATGATAGCGACGACGATGATGATGATGATGTCGTACCCCCACTGACTGGTTTGCCATTCTGATGAAAACGCGTCATCGAGTCGCAGAGCAATTCCTTACTGAGCAACGACATGTCAAGCTTATTCACAAGCGCGGGGTCCAGTACACTTGGCCTTGTAAGATTCGCCGTTTTTGGCCTCTCCGGCTCCTTCTCGCAGAAAACCTTTACGCGCTTCATTTTTGGCGGCCAGGTGCCGATACGCGCTGCATTTTTCGCCGCTGCCTTCTTGCCATTTGTCGTCTTAGTCGGATCTATTTAGACGAAGATGATCTGTTGTTGATAGGAAGCATCGACACAGAAATGTAGATCGGTTTTATCTTATTGAAAACTATAGTAGAGATTTTAATACGCATTTTTTGTTTTTTTAAATATCTCAGATTAATACTGTGATTGTCAGAGACAGATAGTTAATTCTCAGTCAACACCAATTAGAAGTAACATCAATGTTATAATTTCGAACACAACAATGTAACTTTTATGTAACATCCTTTATATTATATTATATTTGCCATGTTTAGTATGAAATTGTAACATAATTGTGTTACTTTTAATTGTTGTTAATTAATTACGACTGACTAAATTGATATCTAATTGCTAAGAATATTGAAAAAATTATTGAAAATTACTAGAAGACTATTTATTATTATTATTATTATTTAATTCACATGATAAGATTTTATTTAAAACATAAGACATTAGTTTTCAATGAGTTAATACATCACTACCATATATTTTTAAAAGAATCAGTCACAAAAGAAATCATCTCTTCTGGGATGATTTGCTTCTGGATCGATGCAATCATTGTTCCATTTGAAGAAAGAATTAGAAAAAAATGTCGCTGGCAACGAAATACGATGGTCATTACCTTTTGAAATATCCAAGTCATCCTTTATTATGAGAAATGTTTTCTGCGATAAAAATTCACAAGGCTCTCTCTTCCACTTCATGACGATTTTATCGATATTAGTGATCTACACAAATCACGGGTATAAAAGTCCTTCGTGAATTGCTCGCGTCGCGGAGCGAGCATAATCGTATTTTCTGCCGACAATAAATCTTCCACGAGTTCAACCCTCAATGTTTTTATATATCGATATAAGACACGAAAACAATTAAAGGGTTAAAGTTCGTTACTTAAATTTCATCGTTTAGAAGTGAAACTTCGATCATTCTGTAATCTGTCTTATCAGTGACATCTCGAAGAACTTTCGTGCTAGAAAGGGAACGTTTCTCGATGCCTACTAAATTTCACTTTATACTTTCTATACAAACGGTCATCGCTTTTCTTCGAACGTATACTTAAGTTATGCGATTGACGTCACACAACGTGTAGTGTTTTTCCCCGTCCGATGAACAGGTGGTATGTCTCAATGCCTGTGCTACAATTCGGACGAATGTTAGAGAAACCCGATTAATTAGAATATTAAATGAATGACAACGCCGAAGGTAATTGCGTTACACCAACTGTACTCGTAATAAATTAAAATGCGGAAATTTCCTTTGTTTTAGAAATCGCACATGCAAATAACACGAATGCGCAAATAACAGCCGTGATCGTCGATATGCAATCCATTTATTTTACATCTATTTTTAATTGTGCGTGAGCACAGGCGGAAGCGAAGTTCCCGACGACGCGGCAGCCCTTTGCTACCGAATTGCGCGGCGTACTGCGAGCTCGGCTTCACCTTGCCATTAATTCCGTATAGCTTTTACCTTTCTATATGTATGAGTGTGCGGTCGACTGTGTGACAGTATACAGGTGGCAGAGGAAAAATCGATCCAACGACCGCCGTTTAAAACACTGACTATACCGTGCCCGGTGTGTGCTGCGTGTTTTCGTCATTACACGGAAGTCGTTCGAAAGCGAACGAGCAAGCGATAAAAGCATGCGTGATTATGAATTGCGAAAACCGCACATTTTATCGTAATACAGCCACTGCGTATCATAGATCTCTTTTTATTCGCTTTTTTATATAAATATGATATTTAAAAAATTATTCGCGCAATATGGTACAAATAGAACGATGTAATATAGATATATATATATATATATATATATATATATAATATATATATATATATACACAAGTCTGTACAAGCTATAAAATTGTTATATGATGATATATACATATGTTAACGACGGTATCTATATCTTTTAAAGTGAAACCATAGTTGGAAGATGTTGTTATGGAACTGACATCTAAATCCACGCTTATATGAGTATTCCCATTCTCGATTGACAATTTTGAATGCAATGTCCTCGTAAGGCGGGCCCGCGTGAAATCGCAGGATGGCGAAATCTTTATTGTCAGTGCAGGGTGTCTGAAAATTAAAATCAAAATTAAATAATTTACTTAAAAAATTTATAAATCATCAATGCTAATCTAAAGTCTGTGGGCACACGATACATTTTTTCCTGTTATGAACTGCTTGCCTTTTAATAAATTACTAAAATTGGATTACACAAAACGCAGAATTTTCAATTGTCCATTCTAAGCCATTAATCACAAATCAAAAGTTAAAAGCTGGAAATTAACTATGATTGAACAATTTCCAGCTTCTAACTTCTGATTTATGCCTAATGGCTTATTGTAGAAAGCCCATAAAAATTTGTTAAAATGCAAGCATTCTAAACAGGAAAAAATGCATCATTAAATGTTGTAGGCTAAATACTACAAGTCTATTCCTTTTTGAAGAAAATTCTGAACTAGTATACATTGTGGTGCAATAAGTAAACCAATATAATTTGTTTCATTTCAACTTACTGTATCAATATATACTATAATTTAAAACTTTATTCGAAAAAAAAAACAGACCTCACAATAGTTGTGTCCGAAAAAGATTCAAATATCTTACAAGAAAGTACTCCGGCGTGGTATTTTTATCGATGAGGTCCGGATAAAAAATGTTGAATTTATATCCTTGTACGATCTTTGGCGGCGGATTGTCCATGTCGTAATGTGTCTGATTGTACTTGTTCCATTCGAAACCTGTGTGCACGCGGTTGAAGTAGCGCGGTTTACGCGGTCGATACTTGTCGGACCACAAATAGATCTGCGCTTCCAACGACGATTCGACACTGAACTGCGCCTCGTCCGAGCCCATACCCTTGCGCGCCTCCCGGTGCATAGCCTGTTCCTCGATCGTCAGTACGTTCTGAATTTTTCTGCCAGTGTTGAGGACTTGCTGCCTTGCATACTCTAATCGCTGATTATCCTCGTCTTCCTGCGTGACGAGTGTGCCCGGCTCGAGCTGCGAGTAAGGTATATAAGTTGGCGAGTAGCCACCAGTTTCGTACTCGCGGAAGGATTCAGACAACAGATCGTCAGCGGCACTTGTCTCTTCTTGATCATCACTGAAACAGGACATGATTATATATATCTTATTCCTGCAAAGAAAAGATAAAGACTTCCTGAATCGGCATAAGGGAGAGAATACTTACTCAGAATGACTATTTTCATCTTTTTCAACAGCTGTACTGGAAGAAGGTTCATCTTGCCTTACAATAGATTCATTCTCCTGTGCTTGCGAGCCTTCGGACTCATTCTCCGTTCTGGCTACACCTTGCTCGGCAATAAGAACCTCCAATTTTTTACGCAAGTTCTCCTGATGTCGGTCTCTAAGCCGCGCTCTCGCCATGTGAGCTACATATTTAATACTTAGTATGAATCACATGTATTATTATTTGTAAAATTTAACAATAGTTATTAGAGATGGCTCAATAATATAAAACGTAAATAAGAAGAAGCATACAGCCACATACGCAAGATATTTTTTGTCAAAGTCATATATTTAAAATTAAGAATATAAATGTTTCGGTCAAGTCTTGGCCATCATCAGTACAATAAAAGAATACCGAAACGTTTACATTTTTAATGTTAAATATATGACTTTGGCAAAAAATATCTTGTGTATGTGGCTGTATGCTCCTTATTTATTATTATTATTATTTGTAATTTTCAAACACGTTTTTAAATTATATCATATTTTACCTTTTAATTGAGACAAAAGGCTTTCCCAATATCCAATATCAACACCTTCTGGCTTCCCTGTAATTTTCGCTTGAATCTGCAATTGTAAAGCTTCCAATTGCGTTGCAGTTTTACCTTTAAAAATAGCTGTGACATCTTTAGCGACCGACTCATGAATGCCTTCTCTTCTACCAACAGCTAAAAAAAAGATGCAGTATGATGTAAGCAAAAATCACAACAGGCAAGAAAAAAAATATTAAGTAAAAATCAATTGAGAAATATTCAGTACAAATGAGTAAAGATTAATATTATGTTAAAATGAGTCTTGGTACTTAATAATACTTTTGTATAAATTTTACAATTTGAGTTTAAATTGTAAAATTTATACGAAAATTTAAGCATCAAAAATCACCTTATCAAATATAGCTTCCTTCACTTATCTGTGTTGAAAAAAAAAGAATTATTTTTCTTACCAACTTCGTATTCTGTTCGTTCCAATTTCCTGAGTTTGTGCAACTCGTCTTCCACGATCACCGTTATATCATTCCAATAATCTAAATTTTTTCCTCTTTCCAGTTCTTTATACACCTTTATGTCCTCTATAAGATCCTCCAAGTCTTTCACATGCAAACCTCTTAAGTATGTATATGGCTCATGCATCTCCACTGCATCAACCTCTTCCTCCGCACTTATGTATTTTGCGAGAAGATCGATGGGTTTCGCACGGCCATCCTGAATCCTAATGCGAGATCTCAATCTAGCTTGCTCAAGATGGAACTGATCTTCCTGCCGAGCCCATTGTTCTAATTGCGCGGCCTCCTTGCCTCTCTGCAACATCGTCATCTCTTCTTCTCTCTGCTGTCGTTCTAGTTCTCTCTCTTGCCTCCTCTTCTTCACCTTCTCTAGCTCTCTCTTATTCTCCTCCTGTTTATGTCTGTTACGAATCTCCAATTCTTCTCTGCCTACACCAAGTAGGCCCTCCTTCCCCAACTTTTTCGACCATACAAAAGTAGACAGGATATTGCCATCACCAAATGGATTATCTGTATTTGTATAATGTAAGTAATCGTTGTCCCAACCCATTCTTTCCTTACGTCTACGTTCCTTGGCTTCCTTCTTCTTCAGGCGACGCAGACGTTTCTCTTCTGGCGTCTCCGTTGCCTTCATCAATTCCTTCTGTCGCTTACGGTCCTCTACTTGCTTCTGCCGTTGCTTCTGAAGTTTCTCCAGCAACTTTGTGGAGTCTGAGGATGAATCTGTAGATGAGCCATCGCTGGATTTGCTCGAATCTGAAGATGTTGACGGTGAAGATGATTCCCTAAATTAAAAATATATACCAAATAGAATTTCCATATATATAATTTCAAAAGATGTATGTTCAGTTGAGTGAAATATTTGCTGCTATTGATTCTTCTAAATTTAGCATGGATCTAAAGGTCTACTTCAATTACAGGCAACAATTACTTGCACCAATGTTGTGACTGTGTTCCAAAATTTACTGTCAGTACTGAGAATCTATAGTATGCGTAAATTATAAATTTCGAAACACAGCCTGTGTTTTCTGAATCATATTTTCCCTTTAATGATACAAACATCCTTCCATCTTTCATGAATAACAAAAGGTCTGTTCACATTGTTTGAAATCTCCAAAAATTTTTGAACTTAAAATGAGATAGATATATATTTGAGCGTTGAAAAGAGAGAAAACAAAGATGCTAAGTGCAAAAAGTGTAAGCAACGCAAACAGACCTAAAGACAACAACATTGTCTTCTTGGCATCAATTAGAAAGCATTTTGGCTGCTTTCCGTTTAAGAGACACAATCGATACAAGTGTTATTCTTTTTTTGTTATTCATTGACTGCTAAAAAGGATAGAACGGCTGTTTGTGTCAGCAAATAGAAAGCATCTACGGTCTTTAAAATTTGAATTGAAAAGACCCACCTCTTTCGATTCTTACGCTTGGAGGACTTCCGCGATTCGCGACGCGAACGAGACTCATCGTCCCTCGATTTTTTATGCTTCTCGCTGGATCTCCTTCTGGAGTGATCGTGTTTGGATTTCGATTCTCCGGATCGGTGCTCCGTGCGATCGCGGATTCTTCGCGACGCTCGATCTTCACCTCTGTAGTCGTCACGCTCTTTCCTTGATTTATATCCACTGCGGTCTCGCGAGTATTTCTCCATCACGAAGGGAAGGGAAAAAGATAAATAAATAAATTGAAATAAATCGCTGTGGTGCCTAACCTCACTTTCCTCCCCTCCCGCCGAGGAAGAACCGGAAGAACGTCACGAACGTTTCAGACGCGCGTCATCTACCGGCGCAGCTGATTCCAGACTACGCGAGTCAACGGCGGTGAATAAAAGACTAAAGAAGGAAGAACGCCGGTTGGATTTATTCTCGTTTTGGATTTCTTTTATATTTCTCTCGGATTCATTTCTGTCGACTTGTCAGTGTTTCTCGCGACGAGGCGAAATATAAAAATATAAAACGAAGTAGAAGCTCGTGAACGAAATCCTCTCTTGACTCGTCACGGCCATTCCGCTCGCTCGATTCGCTCGGTTGGCAGTGTTGGCACATCCGTTGGAACTTTCAAATTAGACAGCGTACGTACGCACGCACGCGATCGAGGGAGGCTTCTCGGAGAGCTTACCGTGTCATTCGACCGAATCCATTGTTTCTGAATCGGAGCTGTTACCGCCATCGCGGAATCTGAAGACGCGATGCCGCACAACATTTATTATTCCGACAAGTACTACGATGATAAATTCGAGTACAGGTAAGCAATCATTTTGCGAGTCCTCCACATGGGGCCCTTTTTGCCCAAAAACATGAGGCCCCCTGATCGTGCGACGTAATGGCGTCTTCTTTTCATACAATTTCTACGCGATTCTGCGTGGAACGTGGAATGTCTGCGCGAAATTTCTACGCTCAACTCGGCGTTTTTTTCTCTTGTCACTCGATTCTTTTTTTCTTCCATTCGTCTTGCCGGCTTCGGAATCGAAGCGTTTAAAATGGTCGATTCGGAAGGCTGGACTGCTCGTTCAAGACCGATTTGTCGATGTTTCATTGCGGATTGGGAAGCTTATTCAGCTTGGATTTGTACGAATCTTTGTAGCATTCGCATTTTTCTCTACGAGATATGACTCGCGATGATTTTAACGCGAATAATTTCTCGGAAGGAGAAAAACAAATGTCGAGAGACATGACGTACGTAAAAAAAAAGACGTAATAATAGAAAAATCGAGATGATTTTTTTATGCGTGCTCGCATTAAAAATCATCTTTCAAAATTTTTTTTCTGTTCAAGCTACATTGCGAGGATCAAATAAAAATTCGATGACAAATATTGTTTGATTATAATATTATATAAAATCGCAAAATATAAATTATATTTTGCGAGAATTGTTATTTATATTTGATTTTTACGAATGATATATAAAATTGAATGGAAATTTCATCTAATTTTATAATTAAAAAGTAATTTCATAATTTTTAATGGTTTTAAATATTATTAACCCTCTATTAATTTGAGTTGGTTTTTATGAGAAATTTTTTTTCATTTTCAAATTTCTGTGAAATAAAGAAAAATTTTTCAGATTTTTCTTCCTAATATATTGTTAAAAACCATTTGATAATGTAATAAATATGTTGAAAAATAATCCTTATTTTTACACATTTTTTGAAAGCTTAAAACAGTAAAAAAAAACATTATAAATGGAGGATTAATTATTATTATATATAAATTTATAAATGTCTATAAAAATTTAAAAATCTTTTCACTTCTTAATTAATATGCATTTCGTGATAAAAAAAAATTCAACACGTCGAAGTATCTATTACTATTATCGAGAAAACAATTTATGCATTTAATACATTTTTTTGTCAAAGGGTGTATATATATTAAAATTTGAAAAGTTACAAATAAAGCTTATTGTATACATATTTCTTATTTTTTGCTTTTTTCATGTATTTGTCATTTCTATTTTCTATTTTTTATTTTTTAAATTTTGTATAGGCATGTGGTTTTACCCAAAGAAATGGTGAAGCTGGTGCCAAGAACTCATTTGCTGTCCGAGCAAGAATGGAGAGCTATTGGGATTCAACAAAGTCAAGGATGGGTGCACTATATGATTCATGATCCCGGTATATACTCAGTTTGATCTTAACATTTCCCACAGAACACAAACAGTAATGTATTACATCAATATTATAATTTTCAATTCAACAATAATATAACAATATAATATAAACACATGTTATACATAACAATGATATTATTGAGTACGAAATTATAATATTAATATAATATTTATGTTAGTTGGATTTCTTTGCACGTTGTGTGTCTTTTGAATATTTCTAATCGAATGAATTATTTCAGAACCACATATTTTGCTATTCAAGAGGAAAATAACGACGCCTCTAGAGCTGAGAAAAAAAAAAGAATTAAACGCAGCGAAGTTGTATCGTTTTGTAAATAACAATTTAGATCATGTTCATATTTATAGTGAAACATATTTACGATCGTATCTCATCACTTCCTGTTTTTCTCTCTCGGTTTCGCTAGTGAAATCGATGCGCCATGAAACATCAAATTTGCTTTCTAAAAGCTTGATTGAAAAAGTCGCGAACTAATCTTTAATAAAAATAAAGCGACGAATTTTCAAGAAAATTCCACAAAATAGTATGTCCATGGTCGTTTTATCTTTAATTACTTCGCGTTGTCATTCATTAAAAAATGTCAAGCAAGTATGCTGTATATATGTTTATAAAATATATTAGTTTTTAATTCCAGTTTAGCTTTTGTACTTTTCTTTTTGCATTGAAACTCGAGAATAAGAGATACATCGCAATATATTAACTTTGAAACAAAATGAAATGTTCTAGTTTTTTGTTTCCAAAGACTGTAATTCCGAAGCGAAGTAATTCATAAGAATAATGTGATTACAGTGCCTTTTAGTAGGAACTTGTAGAATTCATTCATTTGCATTATACTAGATTAGTGCCCATTAAAGGTTACTGTACATGAAATTAGCTAAGTTAAATATAAAAGCATATGTGAATATTATAAAACAGTGGAATGTCACCAATAATATTATACTTAATAATGTCACGTTATTTATATACTTATGTATTATTTCATTGTTAAAGTTGATTATTTAATGCCACTGTATTTAGATGCTTTATATAAAGCAGCCTTTAATGTGCACTAATCAAGTGTAATACATAAAGTGATCGAATTCACCATTAGTACTTTTAATTAAATTAAGACGCTTATAGAACGATCCTTCTCTTTTTAAGTTTGACTTAATGCAAAAGTATTAATTTATACAAGGGAAGTGTAGATACATTTTAAGTTTATATAATTTGTTCGTTCTGATTTTAACACCTTGACTTTGGCACAGGAAGTTTTCATCACAATTTTTGTGCTTTCTAATTTCGAGTAAATCTATGTGCCGTATATAATTGCCTTAAAAGCTATATAACTGGCTACATTAATTTCATATTCAATATCATCAAGCTTTCTCACATTTGTACTTCATGTTAATTTAGCATCCGAGCGATTTTGGTTTGCCTTTTTTTTGTAAGAAAAGAAAAAGAAAAGTGTATTATTGTGTTAAATAAATGTTTGCATTTATGAGAAATGTTATAGTTTTTTACATCACTTATTAATTATAAATACCATTTATACACATATCTATAACTCGACGAATGACAAAAATTTTCCAAGCGTTAGAAAAATTTAACACCTTGATTATCATCGAATGAGATAATCTCTGCCTTTCTTGCAGCTTCCAATGTCTTCAGTGACCTGATTAACACTTCTGTATCTAGACCGTGAAATTCTAAAATAAGCAATATGATTATTAATATCGATTATTTCTAATACTGATAAATAGAGCAAAAACAAATTATACAATTTACCTTGTTCACTTGTGTCCTCCCCTTGTGTCAATTCGAAGAATGTGCACACAGAGCCAGTGAAGCCATTCTCCTGTGCCCAATTATATATTATATCACCCCATTCCTCTAAAGTGTGCCAATAAACCAACCACCTCTGCTTGGTCTTATCTAGGGGTGACGCATTTCCTGATTTTCCTAATTCTTCCAATATTACTAGTACAGCTTCGGACGGTAATTTTCCTGTTATTGTGCTGTTAAGGAGCTTTTAATAACAGAGTAATTATTTTATTAATATACATTAGCTATTAGGAAACTATAGTAATAATCCACCTGAATACATCACTTAATAGTAAACATAACTGTCAGTTAATTTTCTATTCAACAATACAACTATTATGTTATATTAATTATATTGTTAAATAAGAAATTGTAACGAGTTATATTATAGTTGATGTTTGCTAGGAAATTTTTAATAAGTGAAATCTAAATAATATCAGTAAATGAATCGCTGAAAACAATAATACATGACAGGAATGAGTATTACATTAAGTATAACATACGACAAAATTGGTAGAATAATTGTCATTCGATGTGACGAATAAGGATACTGTTTATGCTAGCATTATTAAATAAAGGATTTGTGTGAATCTCGCGCACATCTACGACCGCCTGTTTTGTGATACGATAGTATTCGAGCACCAGGCTCTTCCAGGCTGCTATTTGTTTAGCTCTAGTATCTGCATGAGGTTGAAGCCTGCAATGAATAAGGCGAAGTCATGTGGCAAAAATTCGAATATTTTTCAAATATTGTATTATCGCCAGATTTAAATTTGCTTTTTGTGTATAATTTACGTTCCTAACCTGTGATATACAAGCTCCTATCAAACGACGATTTTACGAGTAACATCTATTGAATTTTGTTAATCTTTAGCACATGTATGCCACTATTAGTAATATTAATAATTTCGTTGGAATACACATTTCTCGCGATAATACTCACGTAAAAAACGGCGGGAAACTGTATTGCCAGGGCCATTCGATCTCTGCCATTGTTTGGTTATCAACTGTCGCAGACAGCTGTCAGACGCGTGATATCACAGATGTAATGATTAGAAATGTCGAGAAAGAAAAAAATGATTTTCATTTAAAAAACGCTTGATATATTTATTACAAACAATTGACAAAAATCTTGTCTTTATTACAAAATTCATGAAAAATAGCAACCGTTGTGTTATATTTTATATTTCTATTCATATACTATATCATATACTATATATACTACTCTTCACTTATATCCTGCTATATTTATATAATCCGTTAAAAACTTGATGACTAATATAGTGCAACTGATTCGTAATAGTAAATAGTGGAAATGGTCTCTAGGATTTTTGAATTATAAATAACAGAGACTGATAAATATATATATCAAAATATATAAAATATCTAATATTAGCTATTATAATTATTTATTACTGAAAAACAGTAATTAATTACTTGTTGGAATATTATGAACACTGAACAGTGTTTTTAAAATACATAAGTTAATTACTGCCTTTTAGTAGTATTGGCCAATTTTTATTAGATTTTTACATATAAGGGATGTCAGTGGTTGAGATTCAATTCATGAAGGATTCATCAATGAATCCTTCATTTGACATTTTCTTCAATGTAGTTTTTAATTGGTCGCTTATATTATGCACAGAGTTGGAAAGTAACGCGTTACTTTTTAAAATAAGTAATTAGTAACGGTAACGAGTCATTTTTAATAAAATGTAACTGTAACAGTAACGCGTTATTTTTTTTTTAAGGAAACGTTTCTACCTCTAATTATGCATATCAGTTACGAACAAAGATTCCTGTAGACAATTAAATAATGATTCTGATAAAACACTTGCTCAGGCCCAAGGACTCTGAATGGTCTTAAACTAGCAAATGGATTCTTTCCACTATAGAGATAATTTACTTTTCTATCCAGGATAATGTTTATTCTGTCTATCTCTTCCTCTAATTCTTTTTGCATATAACATGTTAAGATTAATGGATAATTTTGTTTCGCTAGCATCTGTATGGACGGTGTCCATGTATCTCCATTGGAGATATATTCGTGAATACCCGCATTAAATCCCACAACCAAATCTGGTTTTATGAATAATGGGTTGCATAAGTAGTCCTCATATAACACATCGTGAAATTCTAATGAAATTCTCTTCTTTTGCAACATACAGTTATCACAAATGTGTAATAGATTGGATTTATATTTTAATTCTGGTCCAATCATTATAATTACCAATGATATTATAGCCTTTATTAAATGCAGCAGGATTTCCCATGTCATCAAAGTAGTTTCTTCAATATAACTTGCAGCTATAACATGAATGACTAGATCTTTGCGTTGTGGTATATAATCTAATATTTGCATAGTATGGAACAATGTCAAAGGACGTGTGAGATATTGTGAATGCCTAGCTGCTAAGATATTGTATGACATTTCCGACTCAGTCTGAATATTTCCATAAGCGTTTATAAAGTCATTCATATTCCGAAATGTATCAGTGTCAAAAACATACTGCAAGTAATGCATGTCTAAAGTATTGTTTTCTCCATTTATAAATGATAAATTTGAACGAAGACATAGTTCTAGAGAAACGCAAGTGTCTTTGTGTTTAATACTATTTTTGTGATCTTTACAGAAGCTGACAGATGCACAGCTCTGGCAATCCTCCAACAACTGACCATCCTGTTCATGGCAGACTGTACATTCCCTTAGAAACTGGAACATTTCTTTTTCGTATATTTCTAAAGGACGTTCCAGCTTGAATGATATAAGCAAGATCAAGTTCAGTTTCTGATCGTCCCACTCCTCTAAAGTTCCGTGATCTTCCATTTTGAAGTCTCGCAGTACGTCCTGTATGACTTTACACAAAGATTTATGCTGCGACCAATGCTGCTTTTGATGCTGTCGATTACAATAGGCGATCATTCTACAGCCACCACATTTCTTCAAACAGACGCCATCGCCAAATCGTTTGCAAACATGACACATGGTCGCATAGAAGAACATATTATAATTATCAATTATTTTATTTTTTGTTTCTAATTCCATAATTATCAGTCTTGTATCATATAAAGCTTTCCTTTGATACAAAATAATCTTTTCCCGTTTTGAATTCCTGTCTCCAGACGGAGACAATTCAGCCTGTTTCTGAATGTTTATAAAATACTATAATACATTGATTTAAAAAAGATAAATATTGTACACAATTTAGAATTTGCTTGGAATTGGTTAGAAGGCTTTTTGCAGACTGACATTGATGCGCATGCGTTTTGTTTCCCGCGCTTTTAATTCTCTGAATTGATGAAATGTTCTGATGGTGCTGAAAATCTGTACTTCATCGATCTGTTCGCGTTGCTTACACTTTTTGCACTTAACATCTTCGTTTTTTCTTTCAACGCCTGAATATATATTTATCTCTTTTTAAGTACAAACATTTTTGGGAATTTCAAGCAATACAAACAAATCTCATAACACTTCATAAGTCTGTTCGCATTGCTTGAAATCCCCAAAAATGTTTGCACTTTTAAAATGAAATAAATATATATTCAGGCATGAAGAGAGAGAATAAATGCATGTGCTGAGTGCAAAAAGTGCAAACAGCCCGAACAGACTATTACGTCTATATAAACACCACAATTACTGACACTTTAATTATCATCATTAGTATAAAGAGTTAAAGAAATATAATTAAATTTAAACTGCTACTAAAATTCTTTAAAAAATTCCATAGACATTATTTTAAATTTTGTATTTAGAATCTATTGTTATTATTTATATAATATATTTATATAATATATTATTATTATTTATATTAATATATTATTTATTTTCATAAAAAACATACATTCTGTACAACACAGAATTTACAAAATTTCCAGCATCACAGGAGATTGGAGTGTTATAAGATGTGCACAAATATATATACACACAACTCCACGATATAAAAACTTTGTATTACACCCTAGCAATATTCCTCGCGATATACATTCATATGTACATACGCACACACACATATATATGTATATATACATACATATATGTAGTTTAATTGAATTAATATAACTAATACGTGATATATAACGATATTTATTCTTTTTTTAAAATACTATTCTCTATCCAGGAAGAGTTCTGAACTGTAATTAAAATGACAAAACATGTCACAAGACCAGTCAACTTATAATTAGACTTGAAAGTGAAGACAGCATAAAATTTGCTTTTTTGTGCAGGACTAGTTCTTATTGTTTATCGAAATGCAAATCATAGCACCAAAATTTGGCATTTTACAATTTCATTCTTTATCATACATAAATTTTGTTTTATAATGTACACGTCGTATAATTACGCAATCTATAAAAACTGGCAGGTGCACAAAATTATCAGTCGCGATTATATCCAATCGTTGCATTTTTTTAGGCTTTAAAAAATCGTACAACGCGGACAACATATTGTTTGCATATCGGACATTCAGACATTTGTTTGCCACAATTTATGCAACAAGCCATATGACCGCATTCTAAAATAACACACTCAATCGGCGCATCCCAGCAGATTTTACACAATTCTTCCTGGCTAAGTTGTTCCACATCTGTAATTTTAATAATGTATTTTATGGTAAATAACAGAACATAAAATATATTAAATAATATCAAAACAAGAATATAAATAAACGCTCGAAGTTTGCAATGCAAAACAATTAACAAATCAGCGACCAAATAACGACTAAGTATGAGGTGTTTTGTTAACATATTAATATAAATTTAACCTATCAATATAATTATCAATATATAAATTATAATATAAACGTTTCGGCTTCACACAGAGCCTTCCTAGAGACATAACATTATATATCGTAATTGTTAAAACTAAACGAATATTGTTGTTACATATTTTTTATAAAAATCTTTGAGGAAATCATTGTCGCACCATTATATAAATCAATTGTGAAAAAATCCTTACATTATGGGATTAAACGTAATTCTCGTCATTGAACGAGTAATTGGTTTTGCATTTTTAATATGAACATCTTTTGAAGATCTGACATGATTCACCAGTATATCATCAATAATTGATATAGGATTTTTCTTTAATTTAAAATAGTTGTAAAGCGAAAGAAATATGTTAACTTATTTATACTGAGGAAGGCTCTGTGTAGCTGAAACGTTTATATTTTAATTTATATATTGATAGATTAAATTTATATTAATATATTAACAAAATACCTTATATTGCTCGTTATTTGGTCGCTGATTTTTGAATTGTTTTGTATATTAAATAATCTTGTATACCTATATAAATATCTCTTTACTGTCTAAAGAACAACCAACATTATATTCTATATGAATATAAATATTATCCGGTTGTGTTACGATATATACATTATAATAAATTATTTTACGCTACCTTTTCTAGACTGATTATACTCCTGCCATAATCTGGTCACTTTGTTCAATAAATCTGATCTTTCTATGCAGCCTTTATAATCTACGCGATTTGTACTCAACAAATTTTTCAATTGTTTAATACTTAGATACTCTAATTCTGATGCTTCTTTTATGTCTGATAATTGCACCTTATCTGACCACTGCAAATAGAGATAAAATATAATATAAATACTATACAAATATTTCATAAATGTTGTTTAGAAGCATATACCGTAGGAATCTCTGTGACCATATCCGATTTTTTTTCATTCGACGTTTCGGGAACTTCCTCCTGCTCGATGATTACTGGCTGCGATGCAGTACTGGGCCCAGTTGGACTGCTGTCATTCCCAAATATTTCTTCTATTAAGAGGTCAGTATTTTTCGTTGGTCTCTCCTCGGGTGATTCGCTATCACTGCTAAGTGGAACACTAATAACCGGACTACTATGACTACTTTCACTTGCTTCCTCCGCCATTTCAATGTCTTCGTTTCTCACAGGTTCTGCTGATCCCTGCACGTCCGTTGCGTTTGCACCAGATTCATTATTTGCAGTACTAACATTTGGCATATTTTCCATTCTATTTAAAGGAGAATCAACTCTGGAACTAAACAGTCATATTACTTAGAAAAATATTTTTAAAAGAGAAATATAATTTGTATAAATTTTGTATTAAAATAAAATAAAATAAAAAGAGTTCATATTAGACAAAAAACTTGGCTCTCAAAGAATTCAAGTGTTAAGCCTAATTATACACAATTGAAAAGCACAGATAATAGGAATAGAAAATAACAGATTTCATCCTATTAGAAATTATGTATTTTGAATTATGTAATTGATAGATTGAAAGCTGTTATTCCCTGTTGTCCTATTGTCTGTTCTTTTCTTATTAAGTCTACCAGTAATTATATACACTGCAATGTAAAACATACTGTTGTTCTTCAGCAACATTTTGCGTTCTGAAGCTTGTACTGTTGTCAGAAGTCAAGCTCGAATCAGTTCCATTAGCAAAAAGCATTAGTAAATGCACCAAGTCTTCTTTCTCTGAAATTCAAGTATAATTTTATAAAAAAAATTCTTCAAATTCTTATGAAATTGATATTAAGAAGGTATTATTACAGAGAGAAGCATATTGACAGGCAGTATTGTACATATTAACGCACGTACCGACACAACCTTTAACAGAAACTTTTTTTGCCACAAGATACTGACGCAAGTCCCTAGAACGTATCTGTCTGATTTGATTTCTGATGAGTGGCCTCATTGACAATAGACCACAGCTATCGCAGGTGAACACCTTGTCGAATCGTTTGATAACACATTCGGAACAGAAATATCTTAGGCAGTCCACGCATTGTTTCTAGAAATTATACAAGGAATAAATATATATGTCAAATATTAAACCAGAATTTCGTAATCAAGAATTATGATAAAGTTCGATCATCAGGCAAATAAATTCCTGGAACCAGATTACTGTGGAGTCCTTAATAAAAAAAATTTCTAGATTACCTAACAGAAGAAGGTCAAATGTTAATTGCTAAATAATTTAGTACGCAGTGAATCTGTGTCATCACTTGGTTCTACGGTGACATTTGCATGACAATTTGAAGGCTCGAATTCATTGTCCGGACAAACATGACTTGTCAAGGTTTGTCGAATTGTCGGATCGCCCGGTCGTTCAGCGAGGAAACCGGTCGTTCAGCGAGGAAGAAGGGCCAGGTGTCCCCGATGAGGGTATCCACTCACTTTTCTCTTAAACAGGTTGAACTTTGCATTGCAGGCTTCGCAAGCCATCTCGGGTCGCCCGTTATCGCCCGTTCGTTTCCTGAAACGTTCTCGTTTTGCGCGTCGTGAGATATCACTGTGTTGAGAGACCGAATAGGAATGACAGGTACTATACGTTGTATTCTGCATGAAAATCTCGAGCAGCGTAACGTGAACGCCGACGATCGTGATGTAAGGACGAGCCGGACGAGCGTAATCCGTTCAGATCGATAGTATGATGTTGTTATCGGTACGATATAAGATCGTATAAGTCCGAATCAGTCCGAATTAGTCCGATTACTCCGAAGTCCGAACAGCCCGACTAGTCCGACTACAAAGAGAAAAAAAAACAAAGATGCCCAATCGGTACAAGGAATATATTTCTATCTTATCTACATATGATAATAAAGATGCCTTTTCATGCTGACGCTCGATGCTCATTTTCGGCTTCAAAATGAGTCTAGTATTCAGATCTTATATTCATGACCTTCTTAAGTACAGTCTTAAGAAATAACCAATCAGAGGGCTGTATTAACATTTTAAGACTATTTTGAAATAAGAATTATGAATACCGCCCTAAATTACGTGAGAAATTGACGAATATCAATTTTAATCACGTGATCTATTTTGACGCTGAAAATGAGCGTCGAGCGTCAACATGAAAAGGCACCTTAATAGTGGGCGAGTTCAAGTTCAAGACGGCAAAACGGCTAGGCATGCTAATCGAACGATTGAATATGATTGATTGAATCTATAAGTAACAAGTAATTATGTTTATTTGCTCGGCGAGTAGATTAGCTCAAGTTAGCCGTTTTGTCAACTTGAACGCGTCCGTTATCGCGTCGGTGCTATCGCCTTTGTTCCCTGAATAAGGCGGGATCAAAAATTATCACTCGATGACTTAACTCTTACTAAAGGATTCTACTTGCGTCTTCAACTTCTTGTTTATTGCTAAATATGGCTGAATACGATTGCGAATGTAAAAAGAAGAAAAAAATATTTAGAAACGTGATTGGGAAAATTACTTTACAAGTTACTTGTAAGTTATTTTTTTAAGTGCAAAAGTTCGTATATTTTATCTTTTATATTATATTTTATTTATTATAGTTTATATTATATTTTATATAATTATATCTGCACATAAGATTTTAGTCAGCAATACGTTAATGATTTGTTTACATAAAAATTGCTGATAAATTTGAAAATTTCAGTAAATTGGCATCGATTATATTCGCGTTAAAGTTTGATGTATTTTACTGACAATTTAAAACTTGTTGACTTAACGAGCAAATTATCAACAAAAAGCAAAGGTTGATTCTTATCTTCAATTTGCTATTAGATTAGCAAAATAAACTTAATACGGTTTTTATCGATAATTTGTTCTCAGTAAATTTTGTTGTATACTTGCTTGCACCATTTTACAGATATTATATAAATATAATAGAATTTGCATCAAGTAAAGATATCTTTTTGTTACTAAAATTTATAGCAAGCATTTAACGAAAGGAGGAGGATTTATTCCAAATAAATATGGCAACTCCATCGCTCCGTTTAAGCTGGAATCACTCGAATTGAATGTAATTGACCTCAAACTGTAGATTTTCGTGAGTGTGGACAAAATTTGGAGGGGACCGAAATCAGTCCTTATGGAATGCCTATGAAATCACCCCTCCTCCTTTATTTTTAATAGACTCGGCTTACTTGGAACATAATAATAATAACCCAAGGAATACTAGGTCAACAAAAAATCAAAATGATTTTATTTTGATTCTTAACGTTAATAAACAATTAAATTTTCTAACAAAAAATTATCATTTTGACATCGAAATAAAATCATTTTAACTTTCTTTTGTATTCCTTGAGGAATTTAAAGTAATAAGTGGAAAATATAAATATAAGCACGCGAATCTCTCCAGCTACCTGGATGACATGGTGTGGTGTAAACGGAAAGTGAACAGAATAGGCTCGGCACTTAACGTATTAATTTAGTCACTTCACAGAACTTGACAGATATACAGGTAGTTCTAATACTTCTAATAATGTTCTGCTTATTATCAACTGCTTACAAAATATTCATAAGCTGTCCTTTTAGGATCATCATTGTGGTTTATTCTATTATTATACTCATAAATTCTACTGTAATAGTCCTACCCTGTAGATAGTCTCTGTAGATAGTAACATGGATTATCTACGGTTTTATCGACTGACAAAACATTCATAATAAATATCCTATTAGATATCTATTAGGATATATTATATTATTTTTGTATAGAAGAGAGAATCATGTTGAAACGTGTGGAAAGCATTCCTAGAAAATACATTTTATTGTAATTATTATTTATATTTTACACTCGCGCGAGACAATATTTTATAAATAGTTTATTTATACACTTGGCAATGAAGCAGTTTGTACCGATATTAATATTAAGATACACATCACTATATTTATATTATGGCAGCAAAGTATCGTGTTCCGGAATTCTTGATTATTCGGTACTGTGATAGTGCCTCATTAGTTACATATACATTACATAGGACATTATCCCCAAAAGTGTTTGCATACCTGATGTTAATCAAAATCTTACAAAGAAACTTAGAACCTTAGAATTTCGAGATTATATTAACCAAGATATTCAGACTTAACACATTATGTGTAAAAGAAAATAAATTAGATTCATTTCTAACGATAGAATATTCTAACAAAAATTCATTTATATATACATATCGCTTGAATTATATAATATAATTATAATATAAATATTTATAAATATTAACATAGAAAATAAATTAATAAATTATACGTGTGTGTGTGTGTGTGTGTGTGTGTGTGTGTGCAAAATGAGAAGTCGCATTAAGATTTCGAGGCGGACTTGTTAATCGAGAAATCGTTAATGAACGTTCTTTATCCGCTCTTAATCTCACGTGATTAATTCTTGGACGGATTTTGCATAATTTATTGCATCGATTTGTAAAGGGATTTTCTTGCTTTACTTATTCCTAGATAATCACACAAACGCACGAAACCAATACTTTATTGTTTGTCCGTGCCTCTCTTCGTGATCCTGTACAAACAGTTGTATCGTATATACATGCAGTTATATGGCTAGATCAAAGTATTCTCACGCTGTACGTAAAACAACGAAATACTTAAAACAACGATCGTTATATATTTACAACGAGCGTCATACATTTTACAATGCCGACGACTAGCCAAAACTTTTAACAATTTCTTATGTTCGGATATAAATTCAATTTATCACATTATCATGATCACGATAATGGTAATCCTTTTGTCACACAGCCCTGTTAGTTGTTTAGCAGGCTCTCTTTACAAAAATCTTCTTTTTTCTCAAAAGATATTTACAACGCGTTAATGAGCAATAATTGTAATTTCGGATTTATATTGTAATTAAGCAATATTTTTTCTTACGCAATGAGTTTAGATAACTACAGACTGAACAAAGATGCAATTAACTTCAGTAACGAGGATAAGTCGACTGTCCTTCATTTTTTAAGATAGAGTTCTAACTTTACTTCAACTTAATTTGTTAGAGAATCTGTGGAATCGGGAGAAAAAGGGCCGTGTGAGGACCATCGAGAACAATTATAATTGTATAATTACATACAGTGATTATAAAACTACATGGGATGTACGGTGTCCTTCGTGTTCTGCCCTGATATCCTTGTGAGAGGCTCTTCGTTAGAGATTTGATTCCAATGTTCGTCTTCCTCATTCTCCTCGTCGTGAAACGAATCTTTCCTGAAGAACATAGTTACAGTTTTTTTATATGTATATTAAGATACACGTCACTATTTCAATGTAATAAAAATTAAGAGCAAGAAGAAATTAGAAAAAAATATAGCTTTTTATCCAAAGAAAAGTTTCTTTCGAAAATGAAAAAAAAATATTTCTTTGCTATAATTAAAGAATACATTTCTTTGATCTGAGCGTTATTTGTTTTACAAATATGATATGCATAATACATATATATAGTACATATATATAGTAATTCAAGATTGAATTATTTTAAGCATTAAAAGATCCAGCTTCAATCGTTATAGGCTTTTAATTTCTAGTATTGATTGTGTTCTCATTGTGTTGTGTATATAATCTAAAATAAAATTTCTTAATATTATCATTTCTTTGATTTGAACATTATTTTTTGAAATCAAATAAAAAAATTTATTTAATTTTAGAAAATGATATTTAAATCAAAGAAATAACGTTCAAATCAAAGAAATGTTTTCTTTAATCGTATAGCAAAGAATTTATTTATCGAAGAAACCTTTCTCAGAGTATTCGAGAAACACTTCAATTAAAGTGAAGACTAATCTAATTATTTAAATTCTCTTTCTCACGAAAATTCCTACGAGCTACATCGGGTAAAATTCTGAGAATTTTTCAAAGTTATCAGTTTTTTAGACCTAATCGAAGAATTATAGATGATTATATAATATCAAGAATTATATTACTAACTGATATTTGTTGTTGGATGGCAGAAATAAGGATTTTGGACAGTCCTTGAAGTAGGGCCAGCACTCGCCGTGAAATTTCCCACGGTTTTCTGCCTCGACGTATTCTTTGAGGAGATTTGCAAACGGCGATCGGCTAGCGCTAAAAACAAAATGCCTGGATTAAATTCAACATTATTTTATGTGACTAAAATGTGCTTATTATGGCTATTTATTCTCTAAATTATTTGGAATAAAATTTCACATTCTAAACAGTAAAAATTGTTTTGACAAAAATAAAGAAAATTTTTAATTATTTTTAAGAGTAAAATTTCATTCTTCAGAATGACAATAATACTTTAAAAGTTTTAGAGTAGACCCCGCAAACACAATAGAGTGACATTCCATCCTGAAATCTCAAAATCATACCTTATTTTAAGACTTAAGTACTAAAAAATTATATATAATACAAAAAAATTTCTTTATATCTATTTGTTACTTTTATCTTAGTGTACAAAATTATTTATAATAATTATATTCCTGATAAGCAACTGACGGCGCTACAGCACGTTTTTCGGAGGCCTGCGCATGATGAAAGCATTCACGGTGGACAGCAGAACGGATTCAAAATGTTGTATCAAAAATTTGATTAATTATTTTTAATTTGCATTAAATTTACTAGAGAAATACTTGTCTGATTTAAAAAATATTAAAAAATGTGAAAATGATATATGCATACATGAAAAAAGAAGTTCAATATTTTTACTTAAAAATTTAAGATAAAAATATGAATTACAAAAAAAAATATATAAGTATAACGAAAACCATTTTGAAAATCATATTTCTTTAGATAATTCAATTGACGATAACTAAGCCAAATTTCAAAGCATTTGAATAGATTTTGTGGTAGTTCTAGTGTTCACTGTTTTTGAAAACAGTGAACCATTCCGAGAAAAACGCAATTAAAGTTTCAATAATAATCTCTTTTCGTTGTATTTCAAGCACATAGACGCATTGATTTCTAATCGAAACCAATATAATTTATATTAAAATTGTGTGTCAATGTTTATCTATAGATAAGTAATTATAACATCAAATAACTGAATTATTCAAATAAACGAAACAGTTAAACAATGTGGAGGCACCGATGCTGTGCACTGCTTGGCATAATTAACTGTATCTTCGTTAATATTGGGAATTTCACTTTCGGATAAACAATTTTCGATTTTTTAAAAGTTTCAGTGGAATTCCTTCAGCTTTAAGAAATTGATCAATCATAGTTATTTTTCACATGCGACTTTGATTTATTTCTTAAGGCTTGAGACTTACTACTAATTGTGTTTGCGGACTTATGAAACAGAATTATCCGGAGCTACACTAAAAAAAAGAAGCGTTTAACTTTAAGATATTAAAATATTTTATTCTTGTCTCTGTTTTTTAAACTTAAAGATGTTTTAGTTTTTCAATAAACAAAACATCTTTGAGTATTTAAAAAATGAGGACAAGAATAAAACATATTTCTTTTTACAGTGTGTTTTACTCCACTCTACTCTTCAGAGACTCCTTACTGCAGTTTTATGAACCAGTACTACTTACGTAAAGAACAACTTCAGCATCTCGCCGATAAGCCCGAAGTTATTCAGATGATGTCCCTGGACTTCGCAAATTGCTCTCAATAGGCATGCCTTCCCGTTCATTCCCAGCGTGGACAGCATATCCTCAGCAGTGACATAGAGTAGAGCTCGCTCGCCGCCATGGAACGCATTTTTTGGCACATCTGTTATGTCTCGCTTGTGTAATCTACGCTTGATAAATGCTGCGATGAAGTCAGCCATCATCATGCCGGCCTGCCGGCTCTTCAGCTTCCTGTCGAAACTCGACGGCAGAGCACCGTATGGGTTTTCGTTATCCGTCAGGCCCAGCTTGTCAAAATCGACTGGGAAAAAGACACATAATTCTAGCATAATTCTTCACTTTCTCACATAATTCTTCATTTTCTTTAGGTTAATCACAGATCCACGTGATTCTTCAGCAAACAAGTTGACGTTATTTATCATCATTTTGACGTCTTCAACATAAAATGACAAATAACATCAGCTTGTTTGCTGGCTCATCCACGTGGCGGATGGACTCACTCGTGAACGGCAAGCTGATAGTCATATTGCTGAGGAAGCCATAAGGAGGATGCCGAACGAAGGGCAATGCCAATGTTGGCGTGATCGTCATGACGGTACCGGGTGGCAATGCGATCCGTCCATCGTTCGTGAACCATAAGACTCTCTTCTGCCTGTGATGTGGTGCCTGGCGAGAAGATTCGCTCTCGTGAACGGTATCGCTAAATGTAGATGATGACTCTCTCAGCACTGCCAGACCGAGCAGCAGCAGTAGAAGACATCCTCTTTGAGACATTCTGCGCTGTTCGAGTTGCCGTAACGAGATACCTATTAGGAGTGTATACTGCCACATAAATTCGATTTCTATCAGTATAATATAAAGTCTATTTATTGTCAATACACTGAAAAAAGAAGTGTTTAATTTTAAGATATTAAAATGTTTAATTCTTGTCTACATTTTTTAAACACTTAAAGATGGTTTATCTATTCAAAAAGTTTAAAACTAAAATATCTTTAAGTGTTTAAAAAATGAGGATAAAAATAAAATAAAACACATTTCTTTTAACAGTGTATATAATAGATTAGCTTTTATTTTGATTTCAGGTTCTAGCTATTCACTATGGATCTTCACATTGATGATATCAAAAGCGAAAAAATATATTATGAAAATTCTTGCAAAAAAATTTATTACTCCCGCGTGCATCTCTCGGAGAAGCAAATAGATTCACCGTCAAAGGAAGGGGCTAAATACTCGGCTAAATAAATACCAAGAGGCGGCATCGACTGTGGGTAGACCGTAGATCAAATTAATCGTTTTATTTGCGAATGAAACTTGCAAAGTGGCGTATAATAATTCTCATATCTCTCGATGGCCCAGCGGGCCATCTACTTCAAGTAGGACGACAGACCTCGTGAAATTATTTGCGATAAATCCCACGACGGGATACATGCCTGTACTATATATCGCAGTCACGAGACTTACGGTACCTGCGGTGTGTTTACTTCGAGTCGGGTGTCAAGGAAAAACTTTTCTGCGACAGGTATCTCCGATGGATTTTGTCGTCTACCTTGCTGTCGTCGCCATCATCAGTGACTTACATCCTGTTCGCACAAAAACGGACGAGGCACGTGCGAGGGAATTTTCTTCTGATTGATATTCGGGACGGGTAGTGTGCCTCATGCTGTCCAATTCGATCAATTAGAAACTTAATTTGTGGGTAAGGAGGATAGCATCTTAGAAAGATAACTGTGCTCCCTCGTCGCGCAATAACGCTAAACGTTCATTTATCATGTCGCATGTTGCTGAAAATTCGCATCTAAGAATTATTTGTCGAGGAGCGTCGTAAATTAATAGTCGGAGTGTCTTCGGGAAGCTGAGGCTTGGAAATCCGAGGAAATAGAATCCGAAGAAAATTCCACGCTCGCGAGATTTTCGCTTCATTATTTATATTATACTATTACGTTTCTATTACGTGGTCGGCACTCGAGAATATATCAAGCGCACACACACGTAGTAAGATTAAGTGGGATACTGCTTTAATTGCAACGGACGCATCGTGGAACGTATATCGATTGTTATCGCGAGCTTCGTGTCGGCTACACGCATTTCTTCTTCCCTTTACATCGAACTGCGTGACAGCGCGCAATGGCACGTCGTCGCCGTCGTCTTACCGGTCATTACGGTTACCGGGACATTACGTGTGTGTGTCGAGTTTATTGGGCTTTGGCCATCCGACCGGCCTCCCTATCGGGGAGCCCCCCGGTATGTAACAGTATATAAACTGCAAAACAACATGATTAAGGGGAATCAGGTGTGCCCTAGAAAAATGCAAGTCGTACGCGTGTTTGCCCGTATACCGTCTGCGTATCTCATTGCATCGCGTTCGTTTCTTTTCTTGTGCAGAAGACATTGCTCGTCTCGCAGATCCCGATATATTTGATGCCCCCCCCCTCTCTCTCTTTAATATGTATATATTTGAAACCAGACTCTAAAACTTTTTTTTAGAGTGAATATCACTCTGAAGAATGAAATTTTATAAAGATTGGAAATTGAGCCATTCTTTTTTAGGACTAGCTCAATTTTCACTTTTTAAAGTGAGATTCCACTTCAAAGAATTTAGAGAGTATATGTAGTTATTATTAATAATAATATAGCAGCTAATTATAATTGTAATAATATGAAATTATAGTCACAAATATCAAACTTTTCTCAATGTAACAGAGTTTGCATGTTCACTGTTAAATATCAAAAGAGCAATGGTTTTATAGAAATGATAAAATGCATCATTATAAAACGCATTGTTATTAATTGATAAAGTGCATTAAATCAATAATCGAATTCGTTATATGTATTTAAAAAAATGTTTTAAGAAGGAACGTTACGATAATATTTAATTGTGTCAATGTACATATTCATTGTTACAATGAATTCTAATAATAGTTTTATAACTCATATATCCTTTTATAAAAACCTAAATCATTATGAGAATAAAATTGTTTACTGGATAAATTTTAATGAATTTTTTATTGTATTTATTACGTACATTTTTGGTTTAGTGTGTAAATCAATCCATTTCTGATTAGTTTCAAAGTAAACGACAAAAAGTAATTATATAATGTTTGCATCTAGCAAATAATAAACTAAATTTGAGTCAAATTTAATACATTTTCTCAAGTGAATTATTTAAATCCATTGTTTTTGTTAAATTAATGAATATAGGATGGCAACCTATAGAAATGATTAAAAGTAACTCAAATTGAGTATAATTTGACGTTATAAATTTAACAGTGTTTAATTAATCATTTACCCTAAAAAAAAAGAGATAGAAGAATAACGTTTCTGTGTAGCTCGTATTCATGCTCTCTTATCATCCTCCTGCTAAATCAGCGGGAACGTAAGAAACATCGACTCGATCTAGATTAGCTGGCCCACATTGTTTGATAATCCGATGGCGAGAGTTAAAGTTTGGCGAACGGAAGAGAGTTGGGCCAACCGCTAAGCGCATCGTGCGGAATACGAAATACGATTGACCCCCATATTTCGATATGTACGCCGTGTCGGCTGATCGGACGACGCGTCTTAAATTAAACCACCCGGGTAATCAGGTACCGGTACCTGATATCGGCTGCGTGCTTTTGACGAGGCACCGTTAACTACATTGCTCGTAAAAACCGGGTCAATTTTAAGATCTGGTTCCTGCAGACAGTCCGAGAGGCGACCGTATTCGCGATCGGGTGTAATTCTCTTTTTTCGGGGTGTTGCAACAGGATTCAGTAATAATATTAGCCGACCGCCAAGTACTGATGATATGGAATCGAGAAGTCGATAATTGGAGGAAATGCTCGTGCGAACGGAATCCTCATTATCAATCCTTGATGTTTTACAATAAGAATTACCTTTCTAAAAGATACACATTACAGGAAGTTTTATCGTTACACTGGAAAAGGAATCTATAGTTGCATTTAATTGGTATTCTGATTTGTCCATTTTTCATCAGAATTCCAATTAACGCAACCAGACTCTTTGAATTGTGATTATCTAAAATTATAATTTATGTTCTCATTGAAATAACTAGAATTCTGATTATATATGATCAGAATTTTCTGGTTTGTCCATTTTCAACCAGGATTTTTTTTTCAGTGTATTATGCAATAATTGAATATCGATTTTATCGCGTCTTTTTTATCAATTCTTTTTATATAAACCGAATTCTTATATTATTGTAAAACATCGAGAATATTTCTAAAAGATATACATTGAATATAATAAATTCTATCACTATTACGCAATAATTGCATGTTCCTTAATTTTATTGAACGAAATATTCATCCTTCGCATTTAATTCGAAAAGCTCCCCCCTGGATTGATTTTCTTAGGTCTAACATCTAAAATCGGTTCACAGTAGAATTGCAGCGAGCCGATTTCAACGATAAACGTAATACATAACAGTTCACATCGAACAGTGGCAACTGAGATGCACTGCACTTGATCTTATATGCAACGTAGAGATGAGCATTTTATGTTCCTTCACATCAAAATGCAGCAAATTCCTGACCTAGTGCCTTCTATACTCGCACTTAACGGTATAGTATCGTTATAATGCATTTTAAAGAATCGCGCTCCCGATGACTTTCGCGAGGCAAAAAAGGAAAGGAGAAGAGAGAAGAGAGAAGAGAGAATGGAAGGAGTAGTTATCCCAAAACGCAATGATGCGAAAGAATGGCGTTTGATTTATTAAACGCGATGTTCCGGGTGTTCTCGCATCGTTGATAATCATAATCGAGGCATTGGCGGATTCAGAAATTTATCAAGAGGGAAGTCGAGTCATTGGCGCGCCGGAAGCGACATTTTTTAAAAATCAAATATGAAAAGATAGGTATAATTTAAATTATTAGTGGTATTACATTGAATGTGTGTATTATTTAAATATATAATTCTTAAACTGTTTTATTTAAAATTATATTAGCATGAAAAAAAGAATAATATAATCGAATCTATGTAATATGTAGGTATTTTTTATATCTATAGGAGTTTTTGAAATTTAAAAATATTTTTGGAATAAAAAATAACTTAAGTATTTCAAAAATATGAAAATATATATAACATAAATGTATAAAAAATATATATAACAAATATTTAAAAAACTATTCCAAGGGGGAATCATGGACCTCCTCCCTCCTGTGGATTCGCCAGTGAATAGAGATAATTTTTAATTTGACTGACCTCCGTGTTTCGCGATCGAACGTCTTAATCGCGACTATATAGCGCTGTGCGTGGCATTACGCCGTCCGCAGAATTAATTTACTGTGTGCGTAGCCACGTGTGTCGGAGAGTAATTACTGCGCGGTCGTAATCAGCTACTCTTTAAGTGTAAACGACACGTGCGGTTGTTTTGCAATGCGGGCAATTACGTCGTGCAGTAGTAATTATTATAGAATGTAATATTGTAGAAAAAGAACGTATTGCTGCGTAATAGTAAAAGATATGTTAAGAAATTAACAGGACTTTAATCACGGCAGTCTACCGTATACAACCTTATCGTATCAAATATCGGCAATGATATAATCTTTTTTTCGAGTAGCGATATAAGGAAAGATAAATCAGGCTGGGTAGATTTGAAAAATTTATATGTCGTTTATCTCGATAGAAATTTGTTCTCTGTGATTTTGTTAAGAGAATGAATTTTAAAATGTTATTTAATTAAATTAAATTTTGTTAATTTATTGAGAAAATCAAAAATAAATTTAATTATTAATAATACAATATTAGAAAATTATTAGTCTGGAAATTTATGATTATGGAGTAATAATCTTATGATCCACGTATATTATTTGAATATGTATTTATTGCGCATTCATGTGAAAGCGAATGTGGCGATTCGTACACGGAAAGAATTTTTTCTTAGAGTTTACTAATAATTGATTTTACAATTGAGGCATTCTCTGAAGCGGACCTCCATCTCTCTGGCCAGAACAGTTTTGAAAAAAATGAAGCCTGCGACGGCTCATATACTATTTCTGAATTGTATTTCTTTTCAAAGCTGTCATCAGCATTTTTCAGAGGTATCTAGAAAAATATTATATAAAATAAATATTATATAAATATTATATAATATAAAATCATTAATCCCTCAATCTTTTACTATATTTTAGACAAAATATCTGAAATACTGCGTCACGATCGTTGTATCAATTCTCTTAACGTAATGGATCACGTAAGTAAAGACTTACTTTCTTTGTCGAGGGAATTGAAAAGGAAATTTTCGAATTTAACCAGAAAATTCGAAAATTTGCTGTAAGTATAGGAAGAAATGTACATCTTCTGTTCCTCGCACTAGTATATTTACCGGCAGAGACTTGCATGTGATAAAAGTGAAGATGTGCGATTGTCGAAACAGGAGACAAAGACAATAGTAATGATGCAATGATTGGAGATGATATACGATATCAGACAGGGAGTTTGAATTAGAGGAGATACTCTCAGATCTAAACGAAGAAAATTTTTTTTAAACTTGGCAGTTAATGATCCTTTGAGAATTAAGATTCTCACAATTGCTCCATCGAATTGGAGTATCAATAAAATTGCTCGTGAATTCGGCGCCTCAAAACTTTAGTCAAAACAACTCAAAGATGCGGAGTATCTTAGATGATACAACTGCCAAAAAAGCTGATAAAATTGTACCCGATTCAACTGTCGAAAAAGTCAAGGAATTCTATAAACAATTTATACAGTAGGATTATGCTTGAACAAAAAGATGTATCTATTAAGATTGATTGGGAATCGAACTACTATGCAGAAACGTCCCCTGCTCTATGATTTGAGAGAACTCTATGATTTATTTAAAAAATCAGAAAAAACTATTCAGTTGGGGTTCAGTACGTTCGCTAAATTACGTCCCAAATATTGTATTCTTGCTGAGGCTCGTGGAATACACAGCATCTGTGTTTGCATAATACATCAGAATTGTAAATTGAAGCAATAGATATTCAGAAACTTAGTTGGGATCCAGAGAAATAAATTAACAATTGTAAAGATTGTTTACAACAAATGATGTGCAAAAATCCCACTCTACAGTGCCATTTAGATGAATGTTCCAAGTGTCCTGATCTTTCTTCTCGTTTATTTAATTCATTGAATGAAACGAATATTTTTCAGGTGGAATACAGTGCATGGACGAAATTCTTGAAAAAGGGATTAAGGTCAAATCTACATTTACCTGGTGGTTACTCTACCCAAACATGATAACTTCAGATTGGATTATTTTCCATCATAATGCATTGCTGAGTAAGTGGTTGGCAAATTATGTTGAATTTTGCTAAAACTAAAAATGTGAAATCGGCCGCCTTCTTGGATACGCCATTTTGAATTCAGAAAAAAGCCAAACGGCTTTTGAAAGTAGATGTCACAAACTTTAATTTGGATTCACTTCATAGAGAATTGCTCCAATTATAAAATATTAACGTAAGAAAATAATCTAAGAAAAAGTCAATCGACAGGATTAAAAGTACCGAACAGTCATTATTAACCGTTCTTTTTTTAAATTAATATTATATTTTTTTGTATATATACAATAGGATTCTGAAATTTTTATTATGACTTTCATATTGAAGTGAACTATTTGGTTTTATATCACTTTTTTATTTTCATACTAATTTATTTTTTTGTTAATGAGTAAAAAACGTTAGTAGTGTTAATTCTAGTGTTAATTTGGAAATTTCTTTCGACAGAAAAGTCGATAGCGGATCGATATCCACATCTCCATGCACGATGATAAGACGAGGACGATCGGTGAAACCACCCGAATGGGGACCGATTAATATTCAGGCCTGGGTCGAGACTCGAAACCAGTCGAGTGAGTCCCCAATCAGACGAGTAAACTTACGAAAAATCTGGATTTTCAGAGATTCGCGAACCGCTGCGACACGCGAGGTTGCGATCTTGACTTTATAATATGAGCTTCCGATATATACGTGTATTATTCATACGAGGAGATCGACAGTAGAATAAAGTAATATTGTACTCGACGTCGAGGAGGTCTAGGCGCTAACAGCTTAATTATGTTGCGATTAATTACAGGATAGATCTATGCAAAACCTGATTTTATCAATACGTAAAACGATGTATCATTTCACTCATGCATTTATTGACACACTAATTTTTCGTTAATTTTGCTTAGAGAAAAACATTTTATGATTTTAAGTTTCCTTCGGAACTAAAATCTGTAATAGTTAGGACCGTTTTAATATATATGCCAGTATTCATAGTCAATTCTTATATTTAAAATTGTCTTAAGTACAGTCTTAAGATATTATGAAAACTAATCAGAGAGCCTCATTTTAAAACATTATAAATAAAAACGAATTATGAACCGACCATGATTATATCTAAAGATTAAAGCTTCCCAAGAAATTGAATAAATTTTATTGAATCTTTCAGTAATCTTTTTTTTTAACTAGTGTTTAAATAAATATATATTATAAAAATGAGTCTTACTAATACTGGATCTGAAAGATCCGTTTAATTAAAAGATTGTAATTAATTCAAGGAATAAAATGACATAACTCGTATAAAAAAGAATTAATATTAAATAAATTTTAAAAGAACAATTTTGCAGCTAACATAATAAAAATTATAGCAAAGAAAAATGAATTATTTGACATTTTTAACAAAGATATTTAGGGTACAGCTGGGTAATTTGAATAGTGGGAAAATTTGGATAATAGTAAGTGTTTGCAAGAATTTCAAAAAACTTTGAGACGCCATGTTTTATATTTTAACAAAGAAAATACTGTAGTCTACATATTTATGTAGGTTTGAAAAGATATCTACGTATCTCTCTGGAAGAGTGGAGAGTTTTATATCCGGAGGATTAATAAATTTCCACTATCGTAACGCGATCTCAATTAATCTCAATTAATTCAGTCATCAGATTTCAATCATCCGATCTTATTGCAATGTAATTTTTATTCATCTATCCGTGCGGTATCAAAAATAAATAGAAATCATGCCGCGTGCAGTTGTTCATTCTTCCACGTGCGCGGTCGACAACGTGGTAGCGTGAAATCAAGTCTTTGGCGTTGCCTCGGTTTCAGAAAATATGCGCCGCGCACTGTGAAAATGCACACGCAACCGTTATGCCACATCCACCATGTATAACCATGTGGACTGGTCGATCAGTAATCATAAGCTTCGCGTATTCACTACACGTGCTTAACCACGGAGATTAACCCGTTCGCTTACTCCAGCAAACCGGCGCTCGTCCTGCGATCCACCTGTCCGTCATCACGGCAACGCTTTTTTGAATGGTAATACGGAGAAAAAAACTGAGGCGGTGACGACGCCGGGAAAGAAGTCCGGCAGGCGACGTTGAAAGAAAGAGGTTTTGACGCTCGATTAAGCTTGACATCACTGAGGGAGGGAAGAAAGGCACTTCTGCGGCTACTTGTTGCTGACATAAAAAGAATTGCGCTATAGGAACGTTCGTTCAGTTTCGTGAGAATAAAAATAAAACCGTTCAAATAGTACTTCTATCTCGATGCAAAACAATAACTCTTATAAATTTTCAGTGATTAATCCTTATTACACACGATTCGGTTATTCATATCTTGCACATTTCTTTTCTTTCAAATACTAGATAGGAGGCTAAATAATGATCTCTTTTCCTTTTTTATTAATGCACGATTTCGATTTTATAAATATTTTCTGAAGATGTTAAAGTCTATGTAAGAATTATATTTAATAATTTTTTTATATATTTTGTATTCACTATAGTATATTATAATATATTGTAGTATATATTTTATATAAAGTGATGTAATTAATAATTCCAGGACATGAACGATCCATCGTGTGTAAAGGATTGGAACATCATCGCGCTTACTAAAGAATTTATGATATTAGATAACACGCGATTTATGTATATTTAATAAATAAAAGAGATTTTTAAATTAGAGAAGAAAAATATGTTGCTGGTAAAAATGTTTAATCTCGAGATGTTAATTCGAATATCAACCTAGTCGACACTAATTAAAAGTAGCATAAAATCTACGTTAAAATTTCGCACTCGACAACTAACTTATGTAACTTATGTAATATCATGTGTTATATCACATTTATATTGATACTGTTTCTACCAATGTAAATTAAATTCAGAGAGTCCAATTTACATATTTTATCTTTTCTTAGAACTAGAAAAAGAGTTAATTATATCATAATTAAAATTATAATTACATTAATAGAAACGGGCATGATTGTGAAATTACGAGTATATATAACGTAGATATTATTTTTAATTCGCGTCGACTGGGAAGGTAGCCACGACCTAAGCTAACTTAACTAAAGTTATACACGCGAGTACCATATCTCACCTTTAATTCAACCGCAATACTTGGCGGACGAATCCACCGGTGGGACGATATGTAGGGTAATCTTGACACACACTGATTAACAAAGCTGATTAAAGAGAGCCGCGGCGCGGCGCACCGCGGTGTGCTTCCTCGTTTGGCCGGTGATCGTGTCGATGAAATAACATAAATGAAACTTAATTTACACGGGCATATCTCCCTCTGTCCCGCCCGGTTTTCGGGCGTGAAGAAAGAAAGAAAGAGGAGTACACGCGCGTACACGCGCGTACACGCGCGAACACGGACACCTTATCCGGCGCGCATTGTCGGCCGTGAAAAATGGAACGAGAAGGATAGCGAGAAGGAGGCGAGCTGGGGCGATCCAGTTCTCTGCGCGTCGTTAACGAACACCCGTTTCCTATCTCGCTATCCGGAGAACGGCCGAGCGGATATCGGCGTGCACGCTTCTCCTGACCGCGGCTCGCGCTCTATCATCGCAAATCGCTCGTCAAGCTCAATCTTATCCGCGACGCTTCTTCATCTCGGCGGCACTGGTGAACGACGGTGAACGACGGTGAACGACGGTATCCTCCTCTGCGTCCTTGCAGCGAGGTGTCGGTTGATGAGCCCGATATCGCGTCGAATACTCCGTCCGTGGCTAAATGCGACGTGGAGCGTTCTGAAAATTTTTTTCCATCGATGACTTTTGCCAGAAATTAAATCGTGCGCGAGTGAGTTTGAATACTTCTCCCTCGAAGACACCCTCCGTGCCACCTTTTAAAGATTCTATCCGTGTGTCTCGTGCCTCTATGCCTCTGTCAGTTTTTAACGGAATTCTTTTCCATGAAATATCATCGATAGAATTCTTGGAAGTTTAAAGTTTAATCGGTGTTGCCGGACGCTGTTGATTTGGAGGCGGGTCGCCTTATCGATCACGGTATGTCAAATGATTGGGACGCGCGCTGGATTCGGTCCCCTGCTCTTGTTTCGCTCGCCAAGAATCAACCGAGAACGATCAGCGGCTCGCGCTCGCTGACTTTCAGACTGATCGCACGCGCGGCCCTCATCGTCGATTTCTGGCACGAGACTACGTGTCTCCCTCCTCGAATTACGCGCTGGGATTCACCCTCCTCGCCGAGCCTTCGTTGATCATTTCGTGCGGTGGGGCAGCGCGTCGTCATTCAAGAATACATCTCATCCAATTTTCGGTCGAAGGGGAACAGGAGTCACAGGATATTAGGAAGTCAACACTTTGACTGTCCCGATTTTTTCAATCGATTGCCTGTCACCCTTGTCGGCTCTGTTTTTTGTGGCTGAACTAGTGTACACTTTTAGAACTTAGTTAGATAGGTATATGTTTGATATTTGGCGAAAGCGAGAAAGAAAGTTTTAATGCAGTCTAATGCAGGAATAAAAAACAGACTTACTATTGTATTTTGCACTTTAACTTTTATACAATAAATATATGTAAATTGATGTTAATTAAAAATTTCATTATAATTAAAGGATTATGTTCGATCAAGGCGAGTTTATAAAGCAAAGTATCCAATAATAATTTTGTGTGAAATTTATAATTTTCAGTTCAAAAAAAATTCACAGAAAAAACTTGAGCAGTAAAACGTAAGCAATGAGGAACATGTTGGATTTGCTTACGTTATGGCTTTACAGTCTCTATCGTGATTAACCAATTCCTTTTTAAGTTTTTTTTTGTGCCTTGCCTAAAAATAATTGTGTGTACACAATAAGATTTTAAGGGCCTAAGCACGAATGATGAATCGTGTCAGAATCATAAGTTGATCAAAACGTATGTTGACTATAATTTATTTACGGCCATCCTTGTGCAGTCCCTGAAACTTTATATTGAATTTTTTGCGCCGATGGTTTTGCGTTTTAGCGCCGGAGCTCAAATTGGATACGCCTGGATTAATCACTTTCTTACAGTTTATGGCTTAGAACTTAAAGATGTACGCCTTAAAATCTCATTGTAGGCACCCTTAAGGCACTAAGATTCGTCTTAATCAAATATTTTTTACTTTATTGTCCTAAACATATTTCTTGATTTTTTTCATTTAATATTGTTAAAATTTCATGTCTTTTAAAATATTTATAAAATGTATTCATATTATATAATACAAACGGCGCCTTGGAATTACATATGTAAATGTGTTCATAATTAGATACACGTGGCAGTCAAGTATTGCAGAAATATAATTAAAGAAATACAATGAGCCAACGATTAACGCAAAATAAAAACGGAGAAGAATCTTAGATTTTTAACGTATATTTATTTTATCTACGTGTGAATTGAAAATAATAAAATTATTGTGCGCAAAACTAACGTCGGCTCTCAGAAATTTTTTAACTATTAAATCAATAAAGGAATATAATGTCAATGAGAGCCGACACAGTTGTACGTATGTAATAAAATATAATATATTTATGTTGATCATCAATTACAGACATTTCGATCACATGATTCAGTCATCCTCAGTGTATGAATATCATTTTTCGGAGTCAATTAGAATCGTTGTAACAAAGGTGCAGGTTGTAACAAAGAGCAAATTAATGAATCATCATTAGATTGTCCAAATTTAAAAACTTCATTGTCTGTTGTACTTAATTGAATTCCCAAAAATTCCGTCATTTAGCTAAAATTGTGTTAACAATTGAAAGTATTTAGCAACGCTGTTGATAGTCATGCGTTAATAAAATTAATTATATCAATTAGAAAAATCTTGATAGTCAATGTATTAAAATTAATTGTATCAATTAGAAAAACTTACTCTGTGACTCGGCATAACGATGATTCGTTATAAATTAAAGATGTGATTATAACTATGAAAACGTGTGAGAGGACATTTCTAAGATATTTTTAAGATTTTAGATAAAGAACAAAAGGATTTAATAAAAGATTTAATTTCGGAAGCGATCCATATAAAAAAGCAAAAAAATGGACTGAATTTACAAAATAACACGGAAATGTTAGATCCGTTATAAAATGACTGTGAATTAAAAAGACAAAATGATGTTTCCTTGCTTTACAAGTTATAAAATTCATTGATTTTTTATTTAGTGATTTTTCGGTTTATGCTAGTAATTTATTTAGTTGTTTTGTTTGATAAGTTATATTATAATTTTGTCAATTTTTAGGTATGTATTCTTCTTAACATTTATATTTATAAACAATGCGAACACAAAATCCTCTCACACGCTTTCAAGACATAGTTATAATCACATCGAATTTATAACGGATCATCGTTATGCTGAGTCACAGAGTAAGTTTTTCTAATTGGTATAATTAATTTTAATACATTGACTATCAACAGCGTTGCTAAAAACTTTCAATTATTAACATAATTTTAGCTAAATTAAGTATTATGGAATTCTTGTTTGGATATTTAGCTAAATTATAATAAGTATAACAGACGACTATAAAGTTTTTAAATTTGGACAACAGCCTAACGATAATTTAATGGTATTCGCTCTATCTTTGTTACACGATTCTAATTGACTCCGAAAAATGATATTGATACACTAAGGATGACCGAATCATGTGATCGAAACGTCTGTAATTGGTGGTAATCAACATAAATATTATATTGTGTCGGTTCTCATTAGCATTATATTCCTTTAATCTTTAGAGCCTATACTTCTTTGATCGCTTAGATTTCTACTCGCACATATTGATAAGGAGTTTAAAGTAAAGGCACAGTGTATCTCGAACAGCGAAGTGTCGCGTCGCGAACAAACCGCCTCGAATGAGCCGTCGCTGTATCTAAATACGGAATGATATTGGGAACAAGAGAACGAAGAGACACGCGGAAAAGGAAGACGGGCGTTATGCAAAATGAAAGAACCAGCCGGCTGGGGAATGAAAAAGGAGAAAATCGAAGGACATCTACGAAGATAGCGGTATATAGACGTCGCTGTAAAAAGGAGAAAAAAGGGGGTTAAAGAGGGAAAGGTAGTTACGGTTAGATCATAATAAAGATTACCGTTAACAATAACGAAAACGCTAACTTTTCGCGTTAGGCTTATGTAAAACAAATATCGAGTATAATTAATTAATTAAGTACATATTTAACTTGTGAGTTTTTTCTTAGACTTTTTTTTTTATACCAAATTAGACGAGAAGAGATCAGGAATCAATTTCGACTTACGACTTAGCGGTCCAACGTTTTTTTAAAAGAAACGCGATTTTAACGATTACATTAAATACATGATTAGCTATAAAATAATATATAGGTATATCAGATCTTAAATAATGACAAGTATTTTATGGCACGTGTACATTTTATTTTTCGTAATATGTACGTATAAATCAAACTTAAAATCGATGTACTTTCTTACAAATGATATCTTTGCGCGCACGTATTTAGTTATTGTCTGAAAGTATAGCGATATGCTTATCGACGCAGAGAGTGAAACTGCTCATAACAGGTTCATGGTGTATCTAATGCTTATACGTGCCTATGAAGATTCGTACATAATACGTGTTCGTATACGGGTATAAATGAAACTTAAACTCGATGTATTCTTTTACAAATTGAATATGTAACTTTACGCGCACGTGTAATTATTGTATGAAAGTACAGTGATATTAATAACGCGCAGAATGAAATTTCTCGTCTGCTTCTAACGGTTCGCGTATTAAAAAACATTATACGTGCTTAAAAAGATTTGTACGTTATGCATATATTTCTACAATAGAGTAGTAAGTTTTAAGAGTGAACAATTGAATGAATAATCAATTTCTTACTTAGCTCTATTGATCTATCATCACAAAATACGTACATTCTGTATGTACGTATAAATCAAACTCAGAACAACGTACAAATGATCTATGATAGTTTTGCGCGCACACTGCAGATCCAAGTGTGCAAGAAGTGATACAATATATATGTATAATTACTTTAATGTAAAAATGACACTACATATTACTACGTTTAAATGCTCAAATTCGCTTTTTTTATATCGAACAATGTATTTAAATCCATATTTTAATCCGATCACACACACATATATTGTAGTAACTTTTTACATACATGGATTTGCATACATGTTTAATTATTATCCAAAAATATAACCTGTTTGACACATGGAAATAGTCGTAGAACAGGTTCACGTAATCAATAATAATGCTCGAACGTGCCTATAAAGATATGTATCGCGATGTGTCTGTACGACAAAAGGACATTGGACAAGTCATTTTCTCTGTAGCCAGTAATCCTGACTTTCGCATAGTTTTGGATGGAGACAAATCCAGTTCCACAAGGTACTTCGTCTCGGCAAGTTTCGAAACATAAGATACAAGTCGCAGCTCATCACGCGAAGTGCCAAAATTCTTTCGCCATCCAAGACAGCAACTGAATAGGAATACAAGTTATTCCTCGTGTGAGTGCGCAACTTCGATTTATAAACCCAGATAGCATGGAACATTTTAATAATACTACAAGCAACGTTGTAGTAGCCTTGATGCAATGATGATGGTTGATGGATCATCTCGGGAACGCGTGATTCTTTTTCCTCATGTAAATGTGATGATATTAAATATTAATTGAAATCCATCTCCAGAAAAGTCAGGTTTGTTCTCTGAATCTCTTCAATTAATATGAGATTCTCTTCTCAGAATCTCAGAATCTTTTCAATTAATATAAGTAATAGATTCTCCTCCATAGATTAGTAGATATTGCGCCGTAGATATTGCGATCGCGTTATTTTCGATTGTTACTTTCATTCAACATTACCATAACATAAAGAAAAAAAATACACATTCAGAATTCAATTCTCAATCGCATCGTATTAAATCAAACGTGAAAAATCTTATGTCCTGCTGGAGAATGTTTCCTCAAAGAAACAAATTCATCTCAATCAATTATCCAAAATGTACGAACTAATGGAAACGAATTCCTTACATCCAATTCCAATTTACATCAACCCGAGTTCTGCAACACGATCATGCGTTTTCTACACTCATGCACAAGTCATTTCCTACCGATAGAACGTAGATACTCCTTTTGCGATTAATTATTAATTTATGATTCTTGTGGAATTATAAATATTTGATAGAT